TGGGAAGAAATTTTTTTTTTCAGAGGGGGAGGGACGGGGGAGGGACGGGGGGGGGGGGGGGGGGGGGGGGGGGGGGGACAGGCAGCCTCTGCCCCCTTTTTTAAAGTTCAATGGCATAGCATCAGGCCACAAAAGAAAAAACAAACATTTACAGTTGAATAATTTAGCTATAATAGCATGTAACAATGAAAGGAAGTTTCTGTTTGATATCAACAAATATTTGTTGATATTGATAATAGTGTAGTCTTGTATAGAGTTCACGTCTGGCAAATTGCCTCCCTGGCGCTCCATTATCATTATCGTGACTTTAGCACGGCTGACATTACAGCACCTGAGCATTTTAAGGAATTAATTCCTGCAGGGTGCAAATTTACCTCACCTGGGTGGAGTGTGGCAAATGTAGATTAATATTGCCAAAGGACATTAGTGCTGCTACCAGGTTTTGAACCCCAAACCTTGTGGTTCACAGCTTGGAGACTCCCAGTGGACCACAACACCTCTATTCTCATGGAAACAATGGGATTTTAAAGGAAACCTGTCAACAGATTTCCGAACACCAACATTTCCAGTTTGACAATATACTGTAACCACAAACAATGTGGTGACAAACAAACAGCAGGAAGGGGTGAGATCAAAAGGATGTCGCCTTTGTGATGCATTCTAACTTTTAAATCAATGTAAATGGATGATTCATTATAGAAATGAGTCATTACATTATTACAGTATACAAAATAAGTTGTTAAGCTTGAGCGTTTATGTAAATAAAGAAAGAAAGAAAAGGTGCACAAGTTTCTCATGTGCAGGCCGCAGGGGCTATTAAAGTATGTAAATGAAAGAGCTGATTAAGTACAAAAGTGGCTATTAAAGCATACAGCCTACTTCATACAATCTACTTATACAATCTACTAATAATGTACAGTAAACAGAGGTTTATATACTGTACATGCTATTTGCTGTATCTTTAATCTTGCAATATCCCAATCTAGTGGAATTAGTACACTACCTGTATAATTTATGCAGCATAGTCATGGCCCATTAAAATTGCTAGCATTCTTAAAATCCTTCAACAGAGAGATGAATTTTGTAAAGACAGAAAGTATAGGCACTCATCATGCCTGATTGCTTCTTAATTGAATTCATCTGGGAGTGATTCATCCCTTTAAAGAGACAAGGAAAGCCTCCCCTCGCAGTCAAGTGCCTGGCGAGCGTTGCCCGTTTGGAATTGAAATCAATATTCCTAGTGAGTTTAGGGAGATTTTATGAGGAATTGGGCACGTAGGGAGGCCGAGTGCATGGCTCATTACTAGCCAAGCGACCAGGGTCTTCATGTACACGTAGCTGTGGCTGAGAGTGAATGTGGTGGAGACGCATAGGGTGTTCATTCACACGATCGTGTGAGCTTGCTTTCCCTGTCATAATGAAATGATCAGTGCATGTTTGAGGTGACAGACCCGAGGAAGCATTCCTCTGTAAGGGTTTTTAAGGTGCTTTTGCATCACTCTACTGGAGCAAACTGTAATAGCCATGAAACTGAATGGTTCTTTTAAAAAGGGCATCCAACCTTTGTAAAAACTAAAAAGTTCATTTGCATGAAAGCAAGAAGAAAAAAAAGATATGAGAACAGAATGAGAAAGTACAGTACATGAATTTGACCAATAATAAGAAAGTTTGAAATGTTTGAAACATGAGATCAATATATCTATGCGAAACTCAAATTGGGAATTCTCCCATTTGTCATGTACAAAAATGTACAGGTACAAGAGAAAGAAATCCATTACATATCATATTAACATTAGACAGTCAAATTGATGGTACATTTGCATGTGTTTTATTGCATGTACATGAATCAGATATCTTGGAAGTTTATTCCTAATCTGATAGATTAAGGTCTACCAGTGAAAAAGTATGCAGGAGCAGTGACCGAGTCAGCTCTGGTGGAAAGCTTTAAAAGAGCGTTATAAAGACAGCATTAAAAAGACATCTCAGGTTGTTAAAAAAGGCCCTAAAGGAAACATAACAACTTCATTGCCAAATGTCACTTGCTCTTTAGGAACGAAATAATACAACATATCTCAAGAGAACAAAGTACATACAATATTTGTATAATTTATTAATCTATTTAAAATCTTTCCTAAAATTGATAGAATCAAAGCCAGAGATAAAAATTCTTTCATGTACATGTATTGACAATTTTATGGCATACATACATGGACATGTTTGTCAGTTTCAAAGTTCGTCATCCCTTCTGATATGAAGAAGCATAGACCCTACTAGTAGGGTCCATGGAAGAAGGAATGTCCATTTCAAAACCGAAAGTAAATCATCTTGGAATGTCCAACTGTGAGCGTACTTGTACAAAGTAGGGGGGGGGGGGCTAGATGTACATGTACATGTACTTGCACAGGTAGCACAGGTACAGTACTAACTATTAATGAATCATCAAAGAAAGAAAAGAGATTTAAGAGGGCCCAAAGGAGAATTGAAAAGGTCCAACTCCGAGCCAAGCTTTTCCTAAAACCACAAGCTGCAACTCTCAATAGTCTTTATTGGTGGTAGAAATTGAGTTCTTTTGTCTGCAGCTAACCATGGATTATTCACCACCTTGCTCTTTGAGTAGAATACAAACATACCAACATGCTCCGCTATGTATTGACACTTGTGGGCTTGTTCCCACTAGTGTACTCAGGATTGTTAATGTCTTTGTACATTGTGTAGCATGTACAGTACGGTAAGCATAATTTGATGGAGGGTTTTGTTATAGAATGTATAATAAAGCTCCCCTTCAATAAGTTATTTGATTTGATTTGATTTTATTTGATTTTCTTCTGCATTCATATAAGTACAGTTTTTTGATAACAATTATATTATAAAATACAATGAGCATGTTTTGAGAGTGAATCATGAATAAGCAAATATATACATGTATAACAATTGCTATTTTCAAAAACGAAATGATAAACTGTCATAAATATCAAATTAAATCAAACATTCAATTATTTGCGGAAGAAGGACTGTCATTGTAAATCAGATTGCTTGAAAATATAAACCATGTAGTCAGAGACAAAATCCAAAGCTATCTTGGGGTATCGATTTAGTTCGGTGTGAATGCACGAAAAGTACCTGAGATCTTTTTTTTTTTTTTGGGGGGGGGGGGGTGGTGGTGGCAAACCTCTCGACCACCTTTTGATGTGGTCAGGGACAGGTTTTTAGGGTGCCTGAGATAGGTTGGGTTTCTAAACAGATATACATGTAGTTTGATTAAAATTACATGTATGTTTATAAAGCTAAATTTAATAGAGAACTACTGTACATGTATGAATTTAGAACAGAGAATCTGTTCATAATTTCATAAATTTTAGATTCATGTAGGAATACATGTACGTGTATAATGCTAAAATTAAATTAAAATTAAATGGAGTACAAGTATTATTCATGTACATGTAGGATGTACATGTAAATGTATGATGTAAATGTACATTGTACATTTAGGTCAAGGACCAGCGACATGTACATGTTTGGTTTTTATTTGTTGGAGGAAGCCAACACTCATTTTCTCCGCTGGAAAGGAGGAAATGAGAGTTGTGCATGACGCTAAGTTCAACCAGATCATGTTACCGTCTTTGACTTCAAAGGAAAAATGTTAATAATGAAGAAATATTCAGTACCAGTAAGTTTATAAATAATTTGCAGGTGCAAACTGTATGTACACATGTACTTGTACAGTGTACAACAAAGAAACCCTCTTTCATACAGTGTACATGGAAAAAATACGTACGTACCTGTACCAAACATTCTGTCTGTGCAGATTTTTTTGCCCTATCTTCTACCGGTAATGCATCCACCATATTTTTAGGGCTCTGAATTAAAAGTTATTGAGCCAAAACCACACAATGAGGAATGATTGTCACAAGAGGGTTTAATTCTTAAAAATAGCAAAAAAATTGAGGTTTGGACTGTACAGTAGTTTGAAGAGCTCCTTTCTATTCTACCTTGGAAGCAAGGTTTGACTGTAGAAGAGATAATCCTATAATCTCATGACTAGTAAACATTACATGGATCTACAAAAATTTATTCTAATCACATACTGCCTTCAGAATTAGTACATGTACAGTATGCTATTAAAGGGAAAGGTCAAATAGAGGCATATAATGGGGCTTGTAATGTAAGGGGGCATGACTGGTGCCCCTGACCGGTCCAGTATTGTTATTTGATTTGATTGAAAGTTGTACATTGCTGGTTAATGAACAGTTGATACAATTCACCATTCAGAACCTTCAAGACTACTGAAACATGTTGTATGGCCTATTTTCTAAATAAAATTGGATGTGAAATAATGATTTATTGTAAATTGCCCAATAGTTGTAATACATGCACTGTACATGTCATACATTTTCAAGATCAACAAATTCATTGCTCAATACTGACAGGTGCCTTGTAAACAAACAAAGATTCCCAATTTGCAACTCTAGACCCTTTAAAAATTCAAATCGATTTGGAGTCTGGACCCCCATGAAAAACGGTTAGCATGGAGCTCAGACTTGACTTTGCCATAGACTTTTATTAGGCCTGTTTTCATCAGCTCAAGATTACCAAATATCCCGCTATTTGAACTATCCCAATCGCAAGTTATCCAGTTAATTTGCGTCATCATCAGCCCAAAGTTGCAATTAGCAGGATATTTGGTCGAGATAATCACCCTAAGACATCTTGGGCTAGTTTGCAAAATATCCCGCTATTTGTCCGGTGCATCTTCACCAGCCTGAAGACTCGCACTATGCGCGAACGCTGAGCAAAATATCTTGAGCTAATTTCTCGAGGTTGAGCTTCAAGTTTTGAGGTCAAGTATCAAGCTGATGAAGATGGATTTGTAATTTCGGGATTATTTCCCAAATCAGAAATAGTGGGCTATTTGGCAATCTTGAGCTGATCGAGGACAGGCCTACTGATTGTAAAGATGTTTTGTATGTTTAACATTTTTGTTCTTTTCTTTGTCTCTACAGTTGGACAGGCAGGTGTTTCTCTATGAGATCAATGAGAACATCACCTGCAAGCTATGTCGGGGATACCTCATCGATGCTACCACCATTACAGAATGTTTACACACATGTGAGTATCAGATCATCTTCATTTTGTGATAGAAAATGGTTTAATAGAACAAGTATTTATTCAAGTAATACCTGCAAACCTTCGGCCATTTCATTAAATTTTTCATCATGTTTAAATTTGTCTGTCATAATTCTATGAAAGACAAATTTGCTCTCAGCCAGCCATATGTACATGTAATGATTTCTGTTTGTGTAACTTGTTATTGATAAACATGTTTCAGGGGCGGATCTAGCTTTTTGCTAAGGGGGGGGGTTGACCAAAATAATGACGATGCGGAGCATCGTCCACGAGCCGCGAAGCGGCGAGCCGATTTTTTGGGGGTGTTTATTTGAACCCCGTAAGTGATGTTTTCCTGGCATCTATTAACACAATGGAGACCATAAAAAGCAGTGCATGATAACGTCTTTTTAAATCAAGTAACAGTTAAATACACAGTTATATCCAGAGTTATCATGTGTTTGGTTAAGTTACCTGATGAGTTGAATATCTTCTCACAATATTTGCACTTGAAAGGGTTTCTCTCCAGCGTGCGTTCTTTTTTCTTTCTTTTTTTCTTGCTTTTTTTCTTTTTTTTTTTTTTTTTTTTTTTTTTTTTTTTTGGGCCGTCCAAGGGGGGGGGTTGCAACCCCCCCAACCCCCCCCCTGGATCCGCCACTGTGTTTTATGAAACATGGCACTCTATACAAGGATACCTGTCTCTAATGATCACATTTTGTTTCCCTTGAATTGTAAACTCATTGCAACCTGTTCTAAAGAAACATATACCCCCAAAACACCTGTACCCAAAGACCACCTGCCTATAAATAAAGATCACTTTTCTTGTCTTCCTTGATCACATTTACATACATATTCTAAGTTTCAAACAATTGCTGTTGGCCTGTACAGAAACATGTATCTGAAGGTTTTCCCCTTTTCCCTAATTTGCTTGCAAGCTCCTCAGATATCTGTGTTTGTCAACAAGAATAAAAAGCGTCTTCATACCAAATTTGCAGACATGCAGGGCATTCATTATTTTGCCTTCTGAAGAGGCTAAAGAAATTAAAATTGCAGACAGGAATATTAAATGGAGGGGTACTTCAAATCCCACCCCCTATCTTGTGAAGTCCCTAGTCTCTAGGTTTTTTCCAGACCAAGACAATATTCAGCCAGACTAGAATTTACCTCTCCCCCCCCCCCCCTTGTCTGCATGTTACATTGTACCTAAGTGTTAGTCCCCTGTAACATTGTTAAACTTTACAATCGATCTGCGCAGTGCACATTGTAAGTCCAATAAATCAATCACATCTTTTCGATCAGTTGTATCTTGGGCATTGTATGTAAGGACATACGATTGATTTTTGAGATTGATATCTTTTTAAGTCTCGGACATGAATTGTATGGGGATAATTACCCCTGGCTTTTCGCTTGACCAGTGGTCACCTCAGGGTATGGCTCAATTTTATAGGGGTTCAATTTGATTGGGGTTTAGTGGAAAGAAGATTTTCAGAAAATGGAGTGCATTAGATTGAGTAATGAAAACTATATAGCCTTGAAGGAAATAGCATTTCTGATGTGTTATTGTATTTTTTCTCTGTCCTATTGACAGGGATTTATGAGTTTAACTACATGTACACAGGGGTACCATAGTGGTAATCAATATTACTTTGTGCTCAAAGGCAGTAACAATTTTATATGAAGAGGTTGATTAGAAAAGAAGAAAAAACGAGGGGGGGGGGAAGAAATAACATCTGATCACAAATAAAGACAAACAATTGTACTTACCAAATAAAGATTGTACATGTACATGTGAATATTTTATACAGTAGAATAGAATTGAATGTAATAGAATTGAATTGCATTGAATTCATTGATTTATCTGTCAAAAGAGTGTCGTACAACAGAAATTCCTTATTACATTGGTTTGATACTAACAAAGATCATGTTAACAAAGAAGTGTACAATATGACCAATGTGTGATATCTATGATACATATCATCATGTACATGTATGTGTATGTGTACTTTTTCATGATCGTGAGAGGTTGTGAAATGCCATACTTCCTTTAACATGCAGTATTTAGAATAACAGAAAAAGATTGAAATCAGCTGATCGATTGAATACCAAATTTGTTTGTACTACCTCGAAGGGTATTTGCAGAAGGCACTGAATAGAAACCATTTAACTTCATGGTTTTGGTGTTGAGCATTCACCCGTTGAAATTTGGAGGAAAAAAATAAACAAAACGAACATTCTACTATCTTTAACACTTGACACTTTTTGAATGTGGTTGACATTGAATTTTTTGGAAGAAAAAGAATATTCACCTGGAATAGACCGGTTTAATGACATTCACATTGTAACTTGAGTCTGTTATGACAATTGTTGATGATGATATCGTTTTCAGAAATCAGAATGTGGCCCCTGAACAGAAAATACAATAAATGAAGTGTGAATACATGTGCATGAAGAAGAAAATTAATCAATGTGAATCAATGTGAATCAATGTATCCTCTACTGACTCTTACATGTAGCCCCCGACCTGCGCTGGAAAGATTCTAATTTTAAATGCCGTCTGGATCAGAGCATCTTGATAAATCATCTGTATCCTGAACTGAAATAGCATCGGTTCATGTACACACTGTATGTTCCTGTGGGCCTGTTCACACTAGGTGAATTTTTATACGAAACTTACTCAAAAGAAATCGTTGTTTAGGACGTTCCTGTACATCTACACCCATGCAAACATGTTGTATAAAGGAGTATGCATTAATACAGAAACGTTTTTTAGAGGTTAGTTGAATGAGAACTAATGTACATGTACATGTACATGTCGCCAGTTATCAATCAGCCCTTATGATTAGCATCACCCAGGGATAGGGTTTTCATATGTGTTCACATCAGATGCCTTGAGCATATCTCAAAATGGATTTGGGTGCTTTAATTATTATTATTATTATTACCGGTATTGTCATTATTAGAAGAAGTATCTGATTCTCTTTCAATTTTTCTTTGGAAATGATGCTCAAACCTCTTTTTTGATACACAACGTAAAGTGCAGTGTACTCTGTATATTAAAGTACATGTACAGCAGATGTCAGACTAGAAAAAAATGAATATTGCCAGTCTGAACAGAGTGTGTGTGTGTGTGTGTGTGTGCATTGGGACAAGCAGCCTTCTATGGATTGGCTATCCCCCCTGTGCATCAGTCAGTCGATCGGTTGGAGCTAATATTAGCCTCCTTCCATATACTGCCCCTGAACGGCTTTATTAGAATAAGGGTACTGTCTGTCTAGAGCCAGAAGGGTGTTAACTCTGTGAAAAAGGATTGGAGTTAATGCCCCTCTGGCTCTCAGCTGGCAATATGCAAAGTGCACAGAGAACTCTGGAGATTGAAAATGAATTTTTAAAATGACCTTTGTGCAACTGCATGACCCATCATATTTTAGTCACTTTAGACGAAATAGGCTTTTATGTAATTGAAAGAGCATATTTAGGCCTCCATCAGCAGCATGGAGAAGATTTACACCTACAGTTCATGTGGAAATCATATTTTTCTCCTTGAGAAGGGGTGGGCTCTTTTCAAACTGCAGATAAAAAAAAAAGGGGAAAAGCACAATGTACAACACATTCTTTGGTGGCAAATGCCGATTGTTCAGTACCTTGAAGTACATGTACATTATACATGCAACTGAATTGAATGAAACGCCTATCCCCCATCTCCCCCTCTGTCGTCGCCCGAATTGGCTAAAACAAAGATGTCCAAATTCATTTTCTATTATGCATTTGACTATCTTTTCTATTTAAAAAAATGTTCTTGTAAATTCTGACACAGTTAGAAGATACGCCTGTACGTGTACTCTCAAACTTGTATTTGTAAGGACTTAGATACATGTAGATCGATAGATAAAAGAAAATGAAACAATAATTTCTGAACATTGCTAACCATGATAAGGCCATTCATGAACACAGTTGTTTAGAAACCTATCTCTCGAGTGATTCTGGATAGCTTTGTTACGGATACACGAATGGATGAAATATGTATCATGTATGCAGACATTAGGGGATTGTTAACATTAACAGGTGTCTGTAATTACCATGCTACGAGTGAAAGTTGACATCTGTCCAAGTTTTCATCACAAGGCCGGGTACTTTCACACGAGATTTAAAGTCATAGAAAAAATGTATTTAAAAAATGCAACATCTGTATGGCAAAAAGAACATCTTGAACAGCTGAGATTTAAATGTATATAGTTCACAAACCTTTAGGAATTTTATTTGTCATATAATTTGAAAGGTGTTATAACCCTAGATTCAAGCTCTATTTGCTTATTTTTCATCACCTTTGTGTGTTTATTCTTTAAACTGCACAATAGTTGCAACTTGTCTTTTATAAAACATTGTTATATTTTTTGTCATGTCAGGTCAATTTAAATGGATTGTAAAATTGAAAGTGATTTGTTACATTATTTTCTTTTTCATGTGATGTTAACTCCAATGAATTGTGAAATTTTGCACATGCATAAATAAATAATTATATTTAAAAGATGTATACTGTAGGTTTTTGTCAATATCGTATAAAGACAATTTGTAAAAGCGTCTGAATTTAGGAAAGTGCACATCCCATACATACAGGGTGTATACAGTACATGTACATGTACGTAGTATACAGTACGTGTCCATGTTGTGAGTCTGGGCTGATTCTGTCGAGTTTCCTAACAAAACAAGAAACCTCTGTTTCACTACATCATGTTTTTTCCTTTTTTTCCTTTTTTTTCTCAAGATTTTGCTACACAACATTCACTAACATTCTTGTGGGAAAAATGTTCAATCAAGAAGATTTTACACACATGTAGCTGTACAACGTACAGTACATGTACATACATGTACATGCAGCATGCAATGACGCTGGTGAACGGCAAATAGCTAATGACTTATCATCATGTTTGAAAGATACATCATGTATGTTTTGCCAACTCGTATGTCACAAACGTCTGTCCTTCATTGTCATGCATTAGTAGTAATGACATTAGATATTAAAGTGACAACAAGTTATTTATATCTTTCAGATCTGACTTGATTAATATTGTAATGCATTTATTTTAAGAGATGATAAGATTATAATTCTGGGCTGGGGTATGACACACCATATATGTATCATGGCATAATCAGTATGGGAAAAAGTTTGTTGAAGTGCAAAATAATTAGTTGTAGAAAATTGATCATCAAATGCCACAACATTTGCAAGCTAATTGTACCACCCATTTGCTTTTGCTGGAGTTGCCAGTGTCTAAAATTCAATTATTCCTTCCTTCATCAGCAAAATAGCTGCTAAATCACTGCAAAATATTACATGTATGGTTGCTCTTTTGCTGGTAGTGGCATTTGAAGACAAATTTGTACTTGCCTAAATTTGAATAAAAAAATATGAACAATATAACCATAAATTTTAATTGTGATTTGGATCTTTAACAAATTATAAATGATGGCTGTCTTTGCATTAGCATCAGTGAGAACTAGGCCTAGTAAGAACCTGTCTTGAATTTCAAGTTTATTGCCAAGATATATACAGTATGTCACCTTCACTTATTTCATGATAACTTCTGGATTTTTCGCACCACCCACAACTGTTGCATGTTTCTTTTGTTCAGAAGTTTTGTATTGTATTATTGCTGAGACCAATCTGATTTATTTATTTTAGCTCATGAAACTTTTAAAACTGAATTCAATCCGCTCATGAAATTAATGAATTTTCTGGTTTTACATCATTCTAAGGGTTGATATTCAAGAAAAAATGGGTTACATGTCACAGTAGGGAAGGATTTAGTAATCTTTCTTTCTTTCTTCAGGTATTTGCGCACCCTTGTCAAACCTATTGGAAGGAGTAAAGCCTGGATAATGTGTGTAAACATGTACTCCGTTGCGTTCCTCTGACTTTTGGCCTGTTGACAGGGGTTAGGAGGAGGCTGTAGAAATGGCTCAGGGCCGGATATGCCATATTTAGCAGAGTTGAATTAAAGGGCCTACATGTAGATACACTAGTTTATAGGCTCAAACCCTGTCAGTTTGTAACAGTGTCTGCAGTATGAGACTATAATAGGCTCTGTGCTTAAAGCCAGTCCTGACAAAGTCAGATTCTGATATATCTAGGCTCTGCTCAAGACTTTAGGAATCAAATTAGAGCGTGTGCTTGCAGACTATCTATACATAGCGTTCAGGTCAGATCGGTTGGTTCTCCTGAAGTAGAAATAGAGACAACCTGTCTATAAAGACCCTATTTTTGTTTTTGCTCGTACATGTACAGTGTAGGTAGAGGTTTGAAGCAGGCTATAGAAATAGAGGGCTAGTACTGCATTTTCGGTGCACATGTATATCACTTTTAATAGAAATACATATGTACATGTACAATCAAACATGCTTTATAGGAACCACCTGTCTATAAAGACCATACCGGGTATATTTAGTTTTCCTGTGATATTGTTTCTAGTTGAGGTGTGTAGTAAAGAAGACCACCTGCCTATAAAGACCAGGGGGCACTCCCTTGAGTGGTCTTTATATTCAGGTTTCACTGGGCTTGGTTTGAATTTGATAACATAATCACAATATTTTAATGCTCCTCCGTGGGTTTTATTGATTCACTTTCACTTCATACAACATCTTGATGTTTCTGGAAAACCATGTTTTGTCAGTTTTCAATCTATACAGTATGTACCGTATATATACATGTAGGCCTGCCCATTAAGGAGTTTGTACAGTTTTACTAGTGTTTGGGTACTGTGTACATCTTCCCTAATTAGCAAGTGATTTGATGATTTATTTAACTGTGAAAAGCCACATTCTCAGTTCTGTCTTCAGTTTATTGAAAGAAAAATATCTGAGTAGCCTTTTTGAATAATCTGACTCACAGGTAGCATTCAGATAAAAATGATCAGTTTTTCGAATGACAAAGGGGACTTAATCTCCAGCTCTACATCCCAGACTTGTTGCCATGGCAACGGGATAATGACAAATGAGGACAGAAGGCCTCATCTGTTCTCTGACTCGAGCTACTCATCAATGCCCTGAATTATTCATGGTGTGTTCTATCGGATTTGAGATCCCCACCTAGATAATGAGTGGGAGAGGAGGATAATTGAGAGACAGAGAAAGTAAAGAAGGGATGCTAAGAGGTGGGCGAGAAAGTATGATGGGTGTGGAAGGAGAAAGGGGATGGGAGGGGAAGAGGAGGGGTGAGGAGGAAGGGTGAGGAGTCGGAAAGAGAAAGAAATAAAAAAGAAGAGGAGAGAGAGAAGGGAGAGAAAGAAGAAATAAAGAGGACAGAGAGAGAGAGAGAGGGGGGGAGAGAGGGGGAGGGGGAGAGAGAGGGGGAGGGGGAGAGAGAGAGAGGGGGAGGGGGAGAGAGAGGGGGAGGGGGAGAGAGAGAGGGGGAGGGGGAGGTGGGAGAGAGAGGGGGGGGGGGAGAGAGAGAGGGGGAGAGAGGGGGAGGGGAGAGAGAGGGGGAGGGGAGAGAGAGAGGGGGAGGGGGAGGGGGAGAGAGAGAGGGGGAGGGGGAGAGAGAGAGGGGGAGGTGGGAGAGAGAGAGGGGAGGTGGGAGAGAGAGGGGGAGGGGGAGAGAGAGAGGGGAGAGAGGGGGAGGGGGAGAGGGGAGAGAGGGGGAGGGGGAGAGAGAGGGGGAGAGAGAGAGGGGGAGGGGGAGGGGGAGAGAGAGAGGGGGAGGGGGAGGGGGAGAGAGAGAGGGGGAGGTGGGAGAGAGAGAGGGGAGGGGGAGAGAGAGAGGGGAGAGAGGGGGAGGGGGAGAGAGAGGGGAGGGAGGGGGAGAGAGAGAGAGGGGGAGGGGGAGAGAGAGGGGGAGGGGGAGAGAGAGAGGGGGAGGGGGAGAGAGAGAGGGGGAGGGGGAGAGAGAGGGGGAGGGGGAGAGAGAGGGGGAGGGGAGAGAGAGAGGGGGAGGGGGAGAGAGAGAGGGGGAGGGGGAGAGAGAGAGGGGGAGGGGGAGAGAGAGAGGGGGAGGGGGAGAGAGAGGGGGAGGGGGAGACAGGGGGAGGGGGAGAGAGAGGGGGGGGAGATAGATATGTAAATGCAAAGAGAAGTGTGTGTGTGTGAGAGAGAGGGAGGGAGAAGGGAAAAGAAAGAAAAAGAAAGAAAGGGGGTAAGCTAGGAGAAGCAAAGTATACACAAGTTCCTTTAAGACAGGTATCGATCAGAAATAAATCGTAACTATGCAAAATAATTATTAGATGAAATGTGTTCTTTACAAACAGGTGGTCTGGAATGGTCTTTAACCCTTGAGGCAAGTTGACTGTATACATGTATGTACATGTACTTGAACTTGTGTAGTATATGTACAGTTTAATTATTGTTCTAATTATCTTTATCTCTTTTCTTTTTGTATCCTTCTCTTTCAGTTTGTAAAAGCTGTCTCGTGAAGTACCTTGAGGAGAACAACACCTGCCCAACATGTAGAATACTTATACACCAAAGCCATCCACTTACATATGTAGGGTAAGTACAAAGTCTCCAGAGGTTTCAAGCTATCAGCCAGTTCAGACTATGAGAAGTTTATACAAAACTTGTACTTGTTTTAAAGCCCCACTGCACTACTTATAGCTCCTTGCGCCCTCTATACAGCCAACAATGCCTAAGCGATACCCGTTATTTATGTTAATTGAGAGCTGATTTGATGAGATAACCACCTGCCAGTGGCCTTGCTGGGAGGTCTTATCCCTCCTGGCCAAACTAGTGCAGAGGGGCTTTAAAGAATCATCATAGAATGAAAGGGGCATACAGACTAGCAAACAGCCTCATATAAAGAAACTGATTTTGATGAGCATCAGTTGACATGACAGCTAGCCAATCATTAGTGCGTACTCACGATAAGCCCCGCCCAGTTATCAGAATACGATTTTCGTATGATAAAACGTTCAGACTAAAGTGGGACCCTGCTTCTCTTTCGAGTTCTTGTTTCTTTATACCTGTACAGCGTTCAGACTAGGAAAAAGTCAATAACTTATTATATACCTACAGTGTATACAATGCATCCTTGTAGTCTGGGTTAGAGTATTCACTCTGTTCAGCTTCGTTCACATACACCTGTATGCTGCGGTAAGCCACCACAGTTTTCCACTGAGGCAATATAAAATGACTTAATGTAAAGAGCAATGCACTTCACATTTCATTATCTTATAACACATGGATAAGTGAATATATATGTCAAGGACCTTTGCTGTATACAGCTACTTAAACCTCTTCTTTGAAATAAAAGGAGGTCTTCATGTAAGGAACATCTGTACTTAATGTATGAACAGAGAAAGATTACCAACAGTCCTTTTCAGGATGACACACACTCTCAAGAAAGAAAGACTACCAACAGTTCTTTTCAGGACTCACCAATCCTCCCCCTCTCTCACATGGTACAACCGTAAACCTACTGTATAAACAAAGAAATGTTTAGATTTTTAAACACTAGTTTTTTTGCATTTTAAGTAGACTTACAGCCTTTTCACACACAGCTAAAATTCTATAAACATGATTAGTATAAACGTGTTTCGAGCGTGTTTAAACTAATCACGAGCCTTTCACACACAGAAATTTCGTTGCGATCGTTAATAGTTTCGTGATTAACTACTGCTCGTAAAATGCGCAGTAGTGCCATTGCGCATTGAAGGTCATGTCATATCAATCAAAGCGCACGCTCCATCCAGTTTAAACACGTTTAAACACGAATTTCCTTTCACACACAAAATGTCAAGCTCTCTAGATACGAACTTCGTATCTGCAGCCTGCTTTTAGGGGCGTATGGATCGCGACTTCGTATCTATCCCAACATCGTATAAACGATGTTCACACTGGGAAATTTTGTCTATAAACATGTTTAAAACTGTTGAGTGATTCTAATCATCTCTAGATACGATGAATTTTAGCTGTGTGTGAAAAGGCTGTTATTATCAAGACATCCACCCACATGTAATTTTGAGCGTTTCAAGAAGGCTCTTTAGGAAACTCGAGCCTTGTCAAGGGTGTTGTTGTCTTACATGTAGGTCAGGCAACTTTGAAACAAAAAGATGCCAGGTCCTAAATATCTCTTACACCCTTCAGATTTTTCTGTAGGCAAGTCGATCTGTTGAAGTGTTGTTCAACCCTTCTGTCAAGAATCGCTCATTTGAGTCGAAATCCTTCCTGATCCGATTCTCAGTAGACCATTAGTCGCAGATAAATAGAATTAAAAGGAAAGGTAATTGTTCCATTTTTCATCACTAATCAGTTCTACTCTGCTTCACTTCAGTGAACCATATGTGGCATGAAAATAAACATTCGCAAACGAAATGAACAGAAATAGTCATTCATTTGTCATCCATTAAAAGTATTCATTCATTTTGATCGCTTGCTTTTTATCAAAGTAAATGTTCTGAAGGAGATAACAAAAAGTACATGTAGTTGTTGATCATTCATTAAAGGGGAAGTCAACCCTGATATTTAGTTTTTTTCTGTACAGACAAATTTCATAATTTTCCATGTTCATAGCTGTTTTATAAGGAGGAATACTGTATAAACATTGTATTCGTTTCATACAGGGGTTGTGCAAGAATGTATCTTGGGACTCTGGTACATGTATGGTTTAAACATTATTTGTAAATAAAATGAAAGATGATGAACCTTAGTACAGAGCAAATGAGGGGATCGAGACCTCGTAAATATATGGTACAGAGTTGCCAATTTGTGAAAAAGGATTTATCGGATTTGCTCCAACTTTTACTGATCTGTTTCTACCAAAACCAATTTTATACCAGAATACAGGGCGGAGTTCCCCTCTAAGTAATCAACGATTCAAAGAATACGTTTTGTAGCCAAAAATAGTCATTGATCATCCATTGTAACTAATTCATCGATTCCTATTTAAGAACGGAAATGCTCCAAAGCGTTATGATACTTCATTAAAAGCCGTCTATTCTTGTACACATGAACGTGACGTACACAGCACGCTGTGAAAAATGATACTACATTGTTTCCTGGATCTGACGTCATAACATTTATGTTTGCCTTCTCTCTAGGCAGTATCCGGAGAAAAGAGAGAGGGAATTAAGCATTGAAATCTAATGATCTCATGTATTACTTTCACTCATGAAGTTCATTGCATTCCCTGTGTAATGTACATTTACACTACGTGTATAAAATCATTAAAAAATGCTTGGTTTTAGCTCTGCACTTTATTGTGATAAAAAAGGAAGGAAAAACACATCTAGAAGGTATTTTGAATGGCTGCTTACATTTCTTTCATGTATGTAGTAATAAATAGGAATAATAAATAGGAATAATATTGTATTGTGAGGCTTTTAAATCATAAAATGATAAACAAGTAATCTAAATTTTGCTAAAAAATTACAAATAATAAATACAACAGGACAGAGATAAACATGAAATTTCACAGATATGTTGCATCAGGATTTATTCGTTAGTGGTTAACTATTTCTAGTCTTATTTAACATGCTGTATGAGAGAATTTCAAGAGCAATCCATTTTTTCCATGTGACATTGGTACTATTATTTTTGCCAGAAACAGAATAGAAAAAGAATGAAAAAGGTCACAAAATATTCTTCTTATTTGGTAGAAGTCAAGGTTCTCTTTCAGATACTTGTTTGTGGTGCAAGCATGAATGATAACACCACAGGCTCTCATCTTTGCAAGAGGAGTAACAAATATTTGTCAATGAATATTGCTTACCAGTAGGAAATATTTTTATGTATGTTTTATTGATTTGCTGAAAGCGAGGCCATGAATTAGGACACAACAAATAAGGTCATCAGTTTTGCTCTAGTTCCTATTGAATAAACAAAAGCTTGGTGTTGCTATTGATATGTTATGCATACATGTAGTTCTGATGAAAAGAATGCTTGTCCAACATATCAACAGCTAATATGTGTATGTTTTTGTATGTGGTGAATTCTATCCATATTATATAGCGTACATGTAAATGAAAGAACAAGAAGGAAATGCAATTATTATTATTTTTTTAATTTTATTTATTTATTTTTTTTTTTAAATTTTTTTTTAAATTTATTTATTTATTTATTTATTTATTATTTTTTTTTTTTGGGGGGGGGGGATGGGGGGGGGGGTGGTTCTTGAAAGAGAGCTCATTAAAATTAAATACCGGGTACATCAGTTAAGGGGGATATTTTATTCATTCTTTTTCTCAATCAGATAATTTTGCTCCAATATTTCATTAATTGTACAGTTAGGCGATCTTATCGGTCGTTTGTGTTGCAAACTCAGTCTTTAGTGGCTATGTTCAGGTCGTTGCACAAAATTCTCGTGAAGTACATGTACAAGATCTGTAAAGCGCTTAGAGAAATCGTAGATGTATTAAGCACTATATAAAAGCAGAATACTAATATTATTATTATTATTATTACATGTACAGTACATGGATGTAAGAAGAATAACCAATATTTTTGTAATGAAAATGTTGTCACCCAGCCTTATACAGGCTACAATGGCAGGGCTTTTAGGTAGCCAAATAGAAGAGAAAGGTGTACGGACACCCAGGCAATATATGTGGAGCTAGTCTTTACCCTGGATCTTGTCAATATTCTATTCTACAACTGAGATTGTAGTCAGCGCTATTTAATAACCAATGTTCAATGAGCCAGAGAAGTCAGAATAGAATGTTGATGTTAACTGAAACCTGAAAGAGCTGATGAAAGCAACTCCTCTACAGACTTACCGACAAAAATCATTGAAGGGTGTAAGGGATATTTCAGGCCTAGCTATAGAAGGAAAGAAAAATGGAGATTAGTATATCATCATCGCACCTTCTTGGTGGCTTCCAAATAAGTTGATGTAGGGTGTGTTCATAAAACCTTTTGAAGCCAGAATCAGGAATATGAAGTGGTAGTCAATTTTGTTTTGTTTTTAGGGAGCACTCCCCAATAGTATGGTATCGTTAATAAAACATTCTAGGAGGGGGGGGGGGGGCAGCAGATTCTCTTTCGATATTTGTGCAGTGCTCATTCTGTATTACATGTAGTTTATCATCTCGTCCTTGTTTTCATGAAGTGACAGTAGTGAGGAAAATCGTCACACAATCGTCACTTCGTGAAAACAGCGACGATCTGTATCCATGCTCTTCACCGTCTTTTCAACACGTTTGAGATCTACGTAGCACCATGGTATTCATGGATACCAGAAAGTGTGATTTTTGCATGTTTTTTTCTCTGTTTGAGATATCAAACTATATCTATGACAATAGAAAAGAACAAAAATGCACATGTTTTCCAAATAAACATGCTTAAAAAATTAACAAGTTTTAAAACTGATATTGAGAGGGGAAAAGGTTGTGTGAATGCAGCCTCTTCTCATCTAGGCAAACAGACATGATGACTTCTAGTGAAACCATACAACGTCAGCAGACATTGGCTTTTTGTTGAATGCTCTTTAGGCTGGGGGAATCCTTAGTAAAGAAATCAGTTTGGAGAGGGGTTAAGAAGGGGTTAAGAGGCTTTCTGGGCTCAAGCCTGCCCTCAAAATTGAGTGTATTTGTTTCATTATCATAAAAATATGTTATGGTTATTGGCTTTACATTTACATATCCTTACATGTACATGTAGCTTTCTGTGCTTATTGACCTTCCCATGTAGCTAACACTTTCTACAAAAATTGCCCAGCAGCTATCCATCAGTAGTACTGAAAGTTCATTGTCAGTTGGTTTTAATCGTTGAGAGAATTTATTCTCTATCATTCACTGAACTCCAAATCACCATTTACTCAACAACCTCTCATGTAGGGAATGTTCAGTTTCTCAACATTAAGAAACAAAGGAGGAAGAAAGGAGGAGGAGGAGGGAGGAGGAGGGAAGAGGTGGACAAATAATCCACCATCTCACGTCCTCCTGCCACCGACCCAACCCGACAGAAGCTCATTTAGCTAAAACCCCTCAACACATTGAGCGAAAAAGCTGTAGTGGCTCGATCTTTCCCTCATCTTTTGTCTTGTGAGAGAGAGAGCATCGTCAGTCGGGTGGCGAGGGAAGAATGAGAGAATGATGATGCAGTGCATCACCCCAGGCGTGATATTCTTCATGAGTACTAGAGAGGGTTTCTTGTCATCCAACTTGCCCTTCATTCAGACTAGAAGCATTCACCGTATAGTTATACGATTCTTGAATAGCCAATAATGCTAATGTGCCATACGATAATTACTTAAGATTTTCCTAGTTTGAACGTGGTTTAAAGAACCGTTGTACAGTCAAACCTGTCTATAGCGACCACCCAAGGGAAACACAAAAAGTGGTCTTTGTAGACAGGTTCCTGTAGTACATGATTCAATGAGAAACCATTTTCAAGGGAAACAACAAATGTGGCCTTTGTAGACAGGTGGTCACTAAAGCAGGTTTGACTGTATAACAGAACATATAGTGAAATGTCTGTTTGAGCATGACTTTGATCGAGAACTCAACAAAGAATCAAGATACCGCTCTAGTGTCACGAACGTCATATTGTACAAAACCTGTGTAACTGGGCGGGGCTTATCATGAGCACACACTGATGATTGGCCAGCTGTTATGTCACCTGACCTCGTCAAAAATTAGTTTCTTTATATGATGTTGTTTTCTAGCCTGTAGGCTCCTTTCATTATACAATGATTCTTTATACAATGTTTCTGAGTTTCGTATACATTTTCTATTGTCTGAACAGGCCATAAAAGGCCATACTTTTTTACTGAGGAGGCAAAAGCCAGGATGGGTTGAAATATCACAGGCATCAGTTCATGCATTATTATGCTAATATGAGGAATATGACGAGTTGATGACCAGACTTCAGTTAAAAATTTAGGGTTACTCACTTGTGAATCCAATTTCCATGAAGTAGATCTAAGGTATTGATCAATGTCAAATGCTATTTCAGATCAGAGTCGGTTTGACCTACATGTATAGGCCTATTTACGATACTTTGCACCTACAGATATTAGGTATCATGTATAATGGAACCCTTTAAAGGGATCATTTAAGAATGTTAAATCTGAGATACACGGCCCTACATGTTATCAGTGTCTTTGATATGGTGTTAAATTGAAGCCCTACAAAAACTGTGCTTCAAAATGATCAAGAAGTGCCTCAAAAAAGTAAAAATCTTTGAGTGACCGGTTTTTACCATACTCTTTTCCCCCAATAGACTGTAGTGTTATGAAAACCATTTGACAAACGGTTTTCAAAATTTGTTATTCCAATCATAAATATCTTGATAATCAGACAGGTGATCGGCTTGTAAAAGTCATGGGGTTCCTGACTGACCTAAAGGTCTATAATTATCATTGCAGCGTGAGCTTAATCCCAAATTTTGTTTCAGAATCTGAGACAAAGTTACCGGATCTCTTTAAAAGTACATGTATGTACAGTCTACTAAGAACCAGAAGGGCGAGTGTAGTATTGATATGATTTACTAGCTTACCTATATTTATATTCCTATAAATGTACAGCTTCATGTAGCTTATAAGGCATTTTAATCACCGAAAGGTGTGTAAAAGCTGAATAAAATCTGAAGTTAATGGACCATAAAATGATACTTTATAAACCCAGCCTGGTCTCTCAAATGTAAACAAAACCAGATTTTTTCAGCGTGTCCACACACAAAACAATTTATCCCGAAACTCTATAACGAAACGTCGTATAAAGAATCATCGTATAAATTTCAGAGTGTCCACACACAAGAAACGTCGTATAAATAATCATCGTATAAATTCCAGGATGTCCACACACAGAAGAAAGTAATCCTGAAACTCTACAGCGAAATGTCGTATAGGTGCGCAGTTTGCTACTGCGGTCATGAAATGGAAGCGAAAATGAGAGGTCTGGTCTCCTTTCGCTCGAGGTCACGTTAAGCCCCGCCCAGTTAGTTACACTAGTTACACTCCCCCTGTCCACACACAACATTTTCGATGATTAGGCGTGATTCTTTATCGAGTTTCAGTTCGAAACGATGCCCAAACCTGCGTTTCGTTAGACTAGTTTCGTTATACGAAGTATCGTTAGTGAGCGTCCACACACACAATTTTCATCGTAAAACTATCGCGAAACGGTATCACTATCGCGAAACGGTATAGCTAATCACGGAAAATGTTGTGTGTGGACATGGGGTTTGATGGTTTGTGTATTAGTGTGTACTGGGTGCCTGTATTTGTTTTGATCATTTCTAGGAAAAGCTGCATTATTTACACTGCAACCAAAAATCGTTGATTTCTCACATTCTGGTGTTTCGCCGGTAATTGCTTTGCCATGCTAACAAATGCAGGGCACCAACGAGGCGTTTGCGCACTTACCCACCAAAACACGGTTTTTATGGGTTTCCCAGAAGTGTAAGTGGTAGTCCGAAAAAAATTGAGTGCTTTTCAAAATTGTGTTTGTGATGTGTAAATGGGCCTATTCATGATTTTATTCTATTATTTCTTTTTACAATCAAAAGCAATGAAATTACCTGACATGTTTTTTTAGTCTCATATTCTATGTGATCAAAAATTAGAGCTTAATATCCTTAGTTGATTTCCCCCAAGTTTTATCGTAGAGCTCTGCATGCGCCAATTTACAAGAATTACTGGCAGTCCTGAGCTTACCCAGTAGGCATTCTGTGTGCATCTCTCATTGCTCATTAGCATGCTATCAAGAAGTCTGTCTCAAGGCCAGTTTGTTTAGCACGCAGACAGTATAGTGTTAGAATGATCAGAGGAACATGAGTGTTACAGCAGGTTGTACAGCCTCACTCAATCAATCTTGCTTTCTGATGAGGATTAGAATGTCTTGATGAGCTTTATATGACACTTTATTCATTATTCATTAGGTTAGGGTTAGGGTCAGGGTATTACAGTCTTGTTCATAGCATGCTTATGAAGATTCTGTCAAGCTCAAGGTTGGTTTGTTTAGCAGAGAGATTGATTTACTGTGATTGGGAAAACATGAATGTTACCTTCTCAGACTCGATCAATCAATCTTCATTCCCAATAATGTCTTAGGGTATAAAGGGATTAGGGTCAGGGCTAGAAAGTCTTCTTCATAGCATGCTTATGAAGACTCTGTCAAGGTCAGTTTGTTTAGCAGACAGATTGATATACCAGAGAATGATTGGAAAAAGAGAGTGGTACCTTCGCCGCCAATCAATCTTCATTCCTGATAATGTCTGAGAATGTCTTGATGAGCTTCCTTTATCCATTAGCCTCAAGGTTAGGGTTAGGGTCAGGGGTAAGACAGTCTTCTTCATAGCATGCTTATGAAGACTGTGCCAAGGTCAGTTTGTTTAGCAGACGGATTGATATACCAGAGAATGATCAGGGAAAACATGAGTGTTACCTTCTCAATCAATCAATCTTCATTCCCGATGTCTTAGAATGTCTGATGAGCACCCTTTATTCATTACTAGTGGGTTAGGGTCAGGGTTAGACAGTTTTCTTCATTAAGACTCTGCCAAGGTCAGTTTGTTTAGCAGACAGATTGATTTACTGTGATTGGGAAATTATGAATGTTACCTTCTCAGACTCAGCCAATCGATCTTCATTCCTGATAATGTCTTAGAATGTCTTGATGAACTTCCTTTATTCATTAGCCTCAAGGTTAGGGTTATGGTCAGGGGTAAGACAGTCTTCTTCATAGCATGCTTATGAAGACTGTGCTAAGGTCAGTTTGTTTAGCAGACAGATCGAGTGTTACAGTCTGGTTACATTCTCTCTCAATAGGCCTGTTGTCATCATCTCGAGATAGCCAAATAGCCCGCTATTTCTGATTTGGGAAATAATCCCGAAGTTACTAATCGCATCTTCATCAGCTCTAGATTCGACCTTGAAACTTGAAACTCGACCTTGAGAAATTAGCTTGAGATATTTTGCTCAGCGTTCGCGCATATTGCGAGTCTTCGGTCTGGTGGAGACACACCGTACAAATAGCTGGATATTTTGCAAACTATCCCAAGATATCTTGTGATGACAATCCCGACCAAATATCCCGCTAATTGCAACTTCGGGCTGATGAAGATGCAAATTAGCTGGATAGTTTGCGATCGGGATAGTTCAAATAGCGGGATATTTGGCAATCTTGAGCTAGTGAAGACAGGCCTAATCAGTCTTGTTTTTATTTTTTATAAATCTGATTGGAATGTCCGGACAACCTTGTTTTTTTCTTCTATTCTGTAATGAATGTGAAAGATATCAATGAAATAAGAAAGACCTATAACTTGAACTTTCATTTTTTATCATTTCAGATTTGATCGGACGATGCAGGACATTGTCTACAAATTAGTTCCAAATCTACTTAAAAGTAAGTATACCTTTTTACCAAGGATAGTTTCATGAAGATTCTGATTCTTTCAGTAACATTGAAATCTTTTACAGTGTTATAAATCAATTTATGGCTGCACTTACAGCTACTCTGCTGTGTTAAATACATGTACACAGGTTTTATCAGGCAGTCTGATCCCTGTTCTTGGTAAGCGCAACTCATCAGACAAAAAAAAAAAAAAAAAGACACTGTCTCCAAGAACTGGAATAAGACTGCCAAAAGCAGCCACTCAAAACTAACTGATGAGGCATCATCGAGCAGTTGCTGTAAGTACTTCCAGTAATTGATTTATAACATCACTAATGACTAAACTGAAAATATCAGGAAGCTTTACAAATATGGGAGGGATTTTATGAAGGTATAACTTTTATTTACTACCAGTATAGCTGATTGATCACATGAGGCCTGTTTTCATAAGACTGAAGTTGCAAAATAGCCTGATATTTTTAGACTCTGGATATTTTCCTGAAGCGTCTTCATTGCGTCTTCATCAGACCGACACGCTCATCACAAACTAGATGAAGACGGCCGCAAATAAGCCCGCTATTTCTTTGGAAATAAGACCAAGATTTCTCAGGATATTTTTTGACCAAATAACTCGCTAATTGCAACTGCGGGTGGATGAAGAAGCAAATTAGCTAGCTAATTGGAGATCGGGCTAGTTAAAATAGCGGGTTATTTTGCAACTTTGGTCTGATGAGGACAGGCCTCATGGTTTCCATTTGAAAAAATGCTGAATTGTTTCATGGACCTACCACTGATTGTATGCAGGCTGTGTAGTCAGTTTCTGATCTCTGGTGTATATTCATTCTTATTGAAGTGCAAGGTTTTATTACAAATAATATGAAACATTACATTTTTAGTTTATTTCTATATTTTCTGATCGATGCTTGAGAGTGGGGTTGTTCAAATTCAAGATAATTCCAAAGAATATCCTCTCTGAATGTTGCCAAAATTATACATCCTACAAAATAAGTATTTTTCTCAGAAATCAACTTCAGGCAATATTTACAGCCATGTGCATCACTTATTGAAATATCGAGGGGTCAGTGACGCAAAGACGTAACTCCATTTTGGGCATTTTGAGAAAAAGTGTTCAATGTGTCACTGAGCACTTACATTGTAGGCCTTAAGGAGTTAGGTCTATGCTTCACTAGCCATTGACTTCAATGGGGTGTTGGATGGAGTTAAGTCTTTGTGTTTCCTGGAAAGCCCACATTTTTCTGAACATTTTGATATCAAATACTCATTTTGGCAAAATATGGAGTTACGTCTTTGAGTCACTGAACCCTCGATATGATTTCTTCAGTCACTTCATTAGAATATTGAAATTAACCTTTAGTTGATTTCTCGAAAGTCCTAGTAGTCTCGGTGGTTAGGGAACTCCCCTTTGCTCTGATGAAATATTATAGTATTAATGACTGCTTTGAGAGAAATAGTTGTTTTATTACGCTCAAGGGAAGGTTAGAATTGTGCTATTCCCCGAGGCTTGCCGAGGGGAATAGCCCAATTGTAACCTTCCCGAGAGCGTATGAAAACAACTATTTCTCGAATATTAAAGCAGTCATTAATACTTTTATATGCCGAAAAAAAATAGACTAAAAAATAAAAAATAAAAAATAATTTACATTTTTGTCGAAGACGGGATTCGAACTCTTGCGTACAACAAGAGGTGTATCGAAAACCAACGCTTAGACCACTCGACTATCGCGCGCCGTTAACATGCTTGGCAGTTTTCTCCAATATATACATTAAAATGGATTGAAAACGGCTCCGCGTGAGGGATGCTTCGCAAAAGCTCCATGAAACGGACCCTTCTTTTACTTTTGCAATGCATATTGGCACGAACTTAGATCAAGATCTATCAGCAGATGTTGTTTTTTTGTTTTTGAGAGTTTATTTTCGTCTTCATGTCAACAATGCAAGATAAAATTGTCGGTAAGATCGATCGAGATTCAATTGTATTGAAATTGCCGACCAATTTTTCGCACACGTATGGTATCCTCCATCGCTCAAACCATTTTTTAACATGTAAACCTATGGGGTAACCATGGAGACTGACCTATTTTTTTAATAACCATGGTTATTAAAAATATTGAAATGTTTTAAGCATGGTTACCGGGAATTTTACAGGAACAGTTGAAGTTTATGAATGCAATTCGACCAATCAGATGGCTGGATTTCTTAAGTGAGGTATATAAACATGTACATCACTCAAAGTACCCATATACATTGTATTTCATGTGCCTGTAGTGATATTTTAAAGGAAATTTGTCAGCAGTTAGCATAATCTTTGTTGAAACCAAATTACATTTATAATCTGTAAATGTGCATGTATGTGAAACCATGGACCTACTAAGAAGGTCCATGGTGAAACCAAGGAATTGTGACGGGAAAGCGGAGGAAATCTCTTTGTTGTAAAATACCTAGACGTTTCTGTTATAAGCTTCCTGGATGATACAGAACTAAGAACTAATGATAACATACTTCAAGTGGTTAATCTTTGAAAGCCTCTATCTATACAAATTTGCTTCCTTTTAAAGGTTCTATGTCCCATTTGCAGGCCAAAAAAATGAAAAAGTTAAATTCCAACTGCATTTGAAAGATAATACTAATTTAGAACTTCCCTAAAAAAGGTGGGGCTTGAAAATGTCTTCAAGTGGGAAAATAACGACTATTAGTCCTCAAATTGACTTTAGGGCTATAGAGCCCAAAAGTAATAGTCTTGATTTTCAGACAATTGTACCGAATGGTCATATATTTTATGCTGCGCAAAGATACAATCAGTTTAATCTTGGCCATCATAGGAAGTGGGTTATTGATGTAGACAAATGCTCATGTACCCTTTACAACTTTTTCATGTATGTTATTACCAAAGAAGAAAAAAAGCCAGTCAGTCACTCAATAGTGTCTGACAGTGAAGTCTAGCAAGTAAACGGGTTTCCTTGCATAATTTGAATATGAGGACACTGCTAACGTTTAAAGTTGATACACTAAGCAAATAAATGTCCCTTAATTTGTTACCTACGGCAAGTATATGTTATTTTTAAGTTTTTCAATTACTTAGTATATCACAAAAAATTCTGTCTACTCGAAATCCTCAATTGAAATGTCTAAAATATCCGCCTCTCTTTGCATAGAAAATCAGTCACGACGCTGGTCTACTATTTATGACCTCACGTCCGGGAGAGAGTATATTCACGTACCCGGATGTTCCATAGCAAACATGTGCAGAGTGATACGATTTTCTGCATATTTTTGTTTCAAAGGCTGAAAAGTCTAATAAATCATAATTCTATGTACAATTCTTTACCTTCCCCTAGTACTTCATAGTATTAATATCAATTCCCCTTTTAAAAATTATGACATATACATGCCAACGATGTGCTATTAGTCGATATTTTCACCATGTAATTTTTGTTTTGGTGTTGAAATCGGCCCAGGCACGGAGTGAACAGTAGCTGTCTACCCATGCACAGTTCATTACCGCATACACTACAGCGATCTCCCGATGGTTTCTTCTTCCTTTTCCCCATGTCTTTTGCCTTCCTTGGCCCTGAACATCCTTCATCTACCAATTCTGACACCGGTAGTCAGGAGCAAGTCTTTGTTAGTTGTTTTTCTTAGCTGGCAACGTCGCTTTCATTCTCTTGCAATTGCCGATAAACATATAACTAGCGCACGTACGTTCCATCACAAGCAAGCAGCGCCTAGAGCAGCGGCTTGGTCTTACCTCCCGATTCTGCTCGCTCCACGAACGTTCATGCAAGAGCCGCATCACTCGCCAAAATATTATAGAGGAAGCGCGCTTGCATGATCTCGTTCAAGTTTGATATTTTACAACATAAAATGTTTAACTGGTACTGTATCCTTTTTTGAGGCAGTCACACACATCTATGATAAGTACTATCATAGTTCTAGACCTACTCGTTTTACAAAATTGCTCATGCACATCTGATGACAATATAATGCATCCGCCTATTCATAAGTGCACGATTTAACTTTAATTCCTATACAGTAAACTCGTCTTAAATCTCTACCAAATAGGTGAATATGAGGATATAAAAAGAAATCAGCGACTGGAAAATGTTGCTTCGTTATTCTTCATTCAAATGAAAACAGAAAATCCATCAAATATACTCCTTAACAACACCAAATCTAAGCTCTGACAGGATAGCATTTACGTAGGGGTATCACTGCCATTCACTCTCACTGAGCCCATGACTCCCGTTCGTGACGTCACGGATAGAGGCCCGACTGTACGTGCACTTCCAGGTTTCAGACTTAGATATTTTGGTAGAGTTTACTCGAATAAATTCATTATTCTAAACTTGTTTTGTCGGGTGGACACCATTTGGTGTTATTATGGGGGTTAAAAGCTTTCTTTTTATGTAATTATCTCAGTATTTGGGATTGTCTTAGAGTATCAACTTTAAATTTCACAGATAGGACATACATGACATATTCATAATTCCTGCAAAGTTCTACAGAATTTGAGGTTGGCTGCAAAAGGGACATAGTACCTTTCGCATAACAGGCTTGGTTCATTCAGATACAGTTCCTATTAATGACAAACAATTAATCACTAACATATTTGACCTGCATTGAATTAGCAAAAAAGATAATTTTCTGAGCAAGTCTCTCTTCTTGAATCCTTTTGACAGAAATATTATGTTTAGAACCAGAAGGGCGTTTAATCCTGGAAGTCTGGATAAAATGTCATGAGCTACTACCCTCCTGGCCCCAAACAGACAATATTTTCATTTTTTTCCTCACCATTCACTGTTGCAAATATGAAATACAGTCCAACCTGGTTTAACGACTACCTGTCTACAAAGACCACATTTTTTTAAACATTGAAAATGGTTTCTTGTTGAAACATGAACTAAAGGAACCTGTTCATACAGACCACCTGTCTGTAAAGACCACTTTTTTGTCTCCCTTGGGTGGTCTTTATAGACAGGTTTCACTGTATTTGAATTACAAACTTCCAACTTTTGATCTGCAACTGTTTCCCTTTTATTTTTAATGACATTTTGATATTTTTTTGCTTTTTCAGGTGAGGAGAGGAGAGAAAAGGAGTTTTATGAATCATTTGGTAAAACAGAACCTGAAGAAAAACAAGGTCAGTCTTTTTATATCTTACCATTTTACGATAAGTTTCATTATTGATGTGCTTGTATCTACCATACTACTATTACATGTGTGACATCTCTCTGTTTGACTGTCTGTCTGTCTATGTGTCTCTATCTCTACTTATCTCTTATATTCACTTCTGGTGGGTGCTCATTATAAAATAAATCTAATTCACTCTGTCTGTATCATTCTCTCTGTCTGTATCATTCTCTCACCCTCCAAGCTGTTCAGGCTGTGTTTCTCAGTTAGTAATTCTTCTTCAGTTTGATGAAATATCAATACTTGTTTTAGCCAAGGGCATTAACTAATGCAATTTTACACACAAAGAGTTAATGCAAATCTGGCTGCATACAGATGATTTGACATACAACAAGAGAGGCATGCACGGTACACACTGTACATGTGAAAGTGCAACTGTAAATTTAATATACCGTGTTATTTTTTTCTTCTGCATGTAGGAAATACAATTTGTTTGTGTATGCAATGTAGCCTTCTGGGATTGTCATAACAGTAAGGGTAACCCATTTTTCGATCTAAACTCTTGGATGTTGACCTTTACGCAAAGCCTCATCTCAGACAAACTCCTTGATCATACAAGCTCTCGCCAGACGCTTCCATGTAATGTATGTCACTGTATCCAAAATACAATCAGTATCATCCCAATCTGTGATGTTTGAACGCAGACATCAGCCATAAGAGCGTTATCGCAAGATTTCATCTTTCAGTTGAGATTTCCACTGTGTCCCAGACGCTTGTTTGGGCTGACGACGGAAGACATCATGCCCCGGAAAATTGAACAAAGTGCGTTTATATTTGAGGCGCTGAGAGGATTACAAATGCGGGTTGATGAAAAGATACCAATCACAACACTGATGAAAATCATACTTATGAGAGAGTGTTTTGTGTTCATACAGGGTTCATACTAGAGCTGTGCAAATACAGAGCAGTACGGTATGTGTGGTTTCTAAAGACCAATTAAAGCCTGTAATAAAAAGGAATAATTGGAAGTTTGTGGTTTATCCTCATTATAGTCATTACAAGTAGACTATTTTTAGCTCACGATGTGCTCCTAACCTTGCATTATTCTTGATGACACAATTATAAGAGAGAGTGTTTACATTTGTATTAGTTGGGACCTACAGGTTGTATGTCAGTTACATTACTCATGTGATCATCGTCAAGGCAGGGTAAAAATTATCCCACAGTGTACGATATGAAAATATGAAGGAATATATTTTTCATTCAGCTTTTATGTTTGGAGTGAATCCACTCTCAACCCCTCCCCAATGGTGCGACAGGCTAATTCTCACTTCAACATTTTATTTAATTGTTAATTATTGATACTTGATTACTTCCTTTCTTAGTGAATAAGAGTTTGTTAATTCATTGCAAACATTCCAAGATTATTTAAAGTAGATATCTTTAAATCATTGAGCTTAGCCTACTCCTGTCAGTCTCTGGCTTTGCACAAACAGGAAAAAGCTACAGGACAGGGCCTATGGACTTCATCCTCTGTAGTCTCACTCTTCAGACCATATCTTACATGTTACAACTGACAAGGGTGTGTGTTTGCAATCTTACCCAGGCTGGCCTCAGGCAAGGCTTTAGCTTACATGCAAGCAACTTGTATGAGAGTGGGGCATCCAAAATATAGATCGCATTTCATGAAACTGGTTGTCGAAAATCGTCCAAATTAGGCAGGTAGAGCCAGTGTACATTGTAGGTGTAAAACGATGTCACTTAAACGGAGTGAATGGATTCATCAGAGGATCAAATCTAAAGAAGCTTGAACTCACGAGGGCTTAAGCCCCATCTGCGGAAGGAATGAATGCGAGATCACACCTTGGATGCAGCCTGGTGCATCGTGTAGAACGCACCGTGACAGGCCACTGACAACTCGTAGCACGTTCAGACTGGAGAAAATTGATACGAAGCTCATATTAAGAGATATCGTTTAGGGAATCATCGTTTAGTAAATGGAGCATTCAGACTGGAGATCAACATCGTATAAGGAAACTAGTTTTAAAGAAGCTAGTTAGCAATTTTGTAGAACACACCGTGACAAGCCACTGACAACTCAGAGCATGTTCAGACTCTGGGAAAGTGATACGAAGCTCATATTAAGAAATATCATTTAGAGAATCATCGTTTAGCGAAAGGAGCATACAGACTAGAGAGGAACGTTATATAAGGAAACTAGTTTTGAAGAAGTTAGTTTGCATGACAGCCGGCTTGTCATTATGCGCTCATGATAAACCTCGCCCAGTTATACAATTTTGTATGATGCCCCGTTCGGACTAGAACAAGATGTTGTTTCTTTATCGAGTTTTCATTCGTAAGGATGCTCAAAAAAGCGTCCATGTAACGTTTTGTTATACAACGTTTCTTTCTTACAACATTTAGACTAGAAGAAATGTAATTAGATATGATGCTGATATACATGTAGCTGTATGATGAACTCGAGCAGTCTGAATGCATGGTTAAGAGAGCTGGCTGGGCAAGGCAGTATCAGTTACTCTTAATTCAAGACATCAATCACTTGAGGGTTTATCTCTTATTCTACTTGTCCTGTCTTCAATGCCTACAGGGGTGGGAAGGTGAGTTTGGGGGGGGGGGGGGGGGTTGAATCTTGACTTTTAAGACCACATATCTGTAATGTTATTTTGAGGAGGCGGTAGGATTTGTTTGAAGATGATCATGAACAAGTTGGTAGAAATCTGCAAGAACTGCAATAGAATCTGAAACAAGAAAGGTGTTTATAAATGTAATGCTTCCTGGGAGAAATTTCAATTATTTAAACATATATTTTGTCAATACAGATCGAACAATCAATCTTATTTACTGGGTGTAAGCCACAAATATGTTTGAATAAGAAGGCATGTTGTTGCATGGAATTTATAGAATTGGAAATAAAGTTTGATCAAGAGTTCAGTTATCATTACAAGACAGTATTAGGAAGTAAAGAGTACAAATTGATCTTTTACTCTTATTTAAGACATCAATTACTGGACAGTGTATCTCTTGTTGTAGTCATGAGGCGCATTTATACTGTTAATTACCTTATTTAAAGAAAATCAAGTTCCGGTATGTTGTTTAAATTTTGTTTACCCTGTTCAAAATTGATAGAAAAATATGAAGTACCTGTTTGGTTGTACATATCAAATCATGTAGAAGATCATTACATGAATTCCTCGAATGACTACCAGATATCTCTTATAATCACATGACGCCCTTTATTTCCTGCCATCCATCATACTTAATTAATTATGATTCTCATTAAATCTATAATTAGAGAAAGTAGATTTATTATCATGAATGAAATATCAATGTTTTACATCAAGTACATGTGAAGGTGCTTTTAACTTTCAATGACCATCAATTAAGAAAAATATGGCTGTTGTGTTAATGCAAGAAAATCAATGAACATTAATAGAAAATGAAGAGATTATTCTGAGCCTCAGGGGGATTACGTTCAATAGTCTTTCATTTTTGTAGCAAGTCACCTGTAGCAGCATGGCATATATACAAAAGCTGATCATTCACAATTTGAGTGTGATTTGAGTTGTGATCCAAATTTTGTTGATTTAAATAAGATATTTTTGGTCACACATGAAAAAGAGGTGAAATTTTGATTGCAATTCAAAAATCAATTTTTAAAACCTCACTAACATTGCCTTGAGTATATAGGTCGTTAAATATCCTGGTGCTATGTCATAAATGCTGAGACAAATGATTCTACAATCATGATGCATCATTAGTGTTATTTCCTGTTATCTTAAAAGCCATGCATTCCTTGTGAAGCAAGACTAGTGTACTTTATACGAACGTCTGCAAAACGTTAAACACGCAAGATTGTTTAAAATTTGATTAAAGGGCAATCCCACCCGTGTAATTTTTTCATTTGTTCTTTTGCATGAAAGCAGAAAAATAGCGAAACAGAATGGTGAACATATGAATAAATTGGACCAATAATAAAAAGTTATTAATGTTTGAACTACATGTAAGTGATCACTAAATCTATGCAAATCTCAAATTGGCAGTTTGGTCAGTCGGGGATAACTCTCCATTCATTGTGTACAAAATAGTACTAATTTCTGTTTTTCTCTTAAGTGCCCTCTCCCTTGGGGCACTACCGGTACTCAAAATATATCATGGATAGCATATTGTTGTAGGTCGTCTAAAGAGAATAGACCCTCCTGTATATCGTAACAAGAGTTTTAGCCATTTTTTGTGTTGGAACAAATAGGAAAGTTGTCCGCCACTACATCACAGAGATATTCCAGATTCAGACATTTTGAAGAGCGCCCATATCTGAATTATTACAACTTTCAAAATTAATAACCTTTTTTAATTTTTGTAATCCCATTCTATTCAAATTTTCACCAGATTACTTTTCTGATTCTCTGCTTTTCTGTTGAGTAGTTTGTTATAAAAGTTGGATTTCCCTTTAATTATTGATAGTTGCCATAATCCTGTTGGTTAAAAATATTACGGTCATACTTTCCTGTCTTTTAGCTGAAACAAGGGAACTGAGCAATTAACGTATCAATGATTTAATGTGTCCAAACACAGTACATGTACAAAATATCCTTGTATTATGCACAAGGCAGTTTATTTTTATATGAATAATTCATAAATAGTAAATGCGTGTACATTATACCGTCTTGGGTAACATTTGAATCTTTGACATTTAGACATCTTCCCTGTGAGTCTGATTTATGGGAAAGGGTTTCCATTTATTTTAAGAAGCTATCTCCTATTACTTTTTAGAGGAATTTTTTCCCTCTTCCCTAGAACCTATTCTCTGTTCGCATCTGTTCCTGTTTGTATATGTGTTTTCTGTTGCATATATGTTTAGCTGTCTAATAGTGTCTATATATTTATGCGTAACAAATAAGCCTTTATCTTTTGTTTTTCCATTGTAAATTTAGTCTTGTCTGATATAAGTCAATTACATAAATGTATCCAGTGTACAAGGCTTTTTGATGGTCATTGTTAAAAGAGATGATTTACGGAGCTCAGAATTATCAGCTTCCAAGGTGCCTATGGCCACCTCAAATAAAATCCTGACAGTCGGCTTGAAGCGATTACTGAATGGTGAACTTTCTGCCCTAGCGTACGTACTGTTCATTGCACAGCGCCATCTCTTTGTCAACTGGCCAATAGTGCGCAACCCAATACCTAACTTCCGCTTCGCAGACAGAGGACTTGATGCAAGAACCAACAGGGCAGCGAGGTACTTGACCATATGGCCACAGCTAGCTGACCTGAGATGGCCTTACAGGGGATTTTGCGGTAGTGCTTCTAGTACAGTGTGGCTTTAAAAGTCCCACCCTATCACTCCAAATCACCATTCTCCTTTTCATCTTCTCACCTTACAGACGATCTACAAAACGACATCACCAAAGAAGGGGACGACGACCAGCATCGGAACGACGAACAGGTCAAGATCGTCCTGGAAGATTCCACCAACAAGCTCGGTCCACTCCGGAAAAAGTTCATCCGTATCTCTTCCCAGGCTACCATCAATCACATCAAGAAATTTGTTGCCAAGAAATTACAATTAGATAAATTTAATGAGGTGAGTATAATAGTAAACAATTATTGTAGGAGTAGACACATACCATTGATAACGGTGATGATAATTGATACCGATGATGATAATCAATGAAATTGTTCCATGTAAAAAATACAATGTATCAGAGGAAATCGTTGTTGGAGGCTCACGAAGGGTCAAACTGATGAACTTGTGCCATTCTTTTACCACAAACATTTATATTGATTTAATGGCTGTCTTTATCATTGAGATGTGACTGGCCCATTGTAGTGACTGTGATAGAACAATTATTAACGGATAAAGGGTTAATTGTTGATATTGGACAGCAACACAGTCTAAATGATTATAACTCTTCTTTGCTTTGATAAAAAGAAGTGCTCTTTTCCTACAATGATGATTTGCTGTGTAAAGCAATTCGTTTGACCACTTCGGTTGGGCTCGAAATTGTGTTCCATGCAATACAAATTCTATGTCTTTTCTGTATTGTATTGAATTATGGTGAAATCGATTATTGTAATCATTAGAATTATTGGTGAAGATAGTAGCATCTACATCGCTTAGGTTATAATTTCTTCCACTGTCCTCACAGCCATTGTTGATAATTATTTGCTTGATGTTTATCATATATTTATATTTTTTGTTTGTATTTGTTATCAGCTTGATATCCTATGCAATGAAGAGATCCTGGGCAAAGATCATACGTTAAAATTTGTCTGTGTAACAAGATGGCGAGCAAGGGTGAGTAGACTTCTCTTTGATTCATAATGAGTACTGTAGAGTTTGTTTTGGGGTACACAGGGGGGGGGGGGGGGATAGGGAGGGGGCTATTGAGAGAAGGTGGAAGGGTGTATAGAGAGTGAGAGAGAGAGAGAAAGGGAGAGATTGGGGTAGAGGAGTACAGAGAGAAGGGTAAGTAGAGTTCTCTTTGATTCATAATGAGTACTGTAGAGTTTGTGTTGGGGTACACAGGGGGGGGGGGGGGATAGGGAGGGGGCTATTGAGAGAAGGTGGAAGGGTGTAGGGAGAGTGAGAGAGAGAGAGAAAGGGAAAGGGAGAGATTGGGGTAGAGGAGTACAGAGAGAAGGGTAAGTAGAGTTCTCTTTGATTCATAATGAATACTGTATAGTTTGTGTTAGGGGTACAGGGGGGAGAATAGGGAGGGGAGTATTGAGAGAAGGGGAAAGGGTGTAGAGAGAGAGAGCAAGAAAGAGAGCGAGAGAGAAAGAGAGATGGAGTGGGGTGAGGAGTACATAGAGAAGGGTAAGCAGAGGTCTCTTATCATTTTGTGATCAATACTATTGAATTTGACTTTGAGGAATAGTGGGGGATACAAGATGATATGGGTATTGAGAGGGGAGGGATGCAGATATTGATAAAGGTGGGAGGGGTATAGAGGTGAACAAGGAAGTTTCAAGGGAGGAGGTAAAATTTAGTGAGATGACCCAACAAGAAAACGATATAATATCCACAATCCAGCATTTTCACTGATGAATTGGACAGTGAATGTGATATAGAAACATCACTTTAATTTGAATTTTTAATCATTGAATTTGATTATCTTCAGGAGCACAAGACCTGTATGTGAACAATAATTCTAACAGGATGATCAGTCTCGAACTACTACTTGCTTGTAGATAACTCATTGGTCCATATTAAAGACATTCCACTTATTGTTTCTGGAGTTATACATCTAAATGACAAGATGATGTCTTCCCCTCCCCTTGTTGCTAGAAGTATTTTTAATAAATGTATGATCTATACCTCTACAAACATGGTTGATGCTACATGTACATTGTACATGCAGGCTGGCTCATGAAGTGAAACCTAATGGGGACAATCTGTTGAACTTGTTTCTATAAATGGGTCTTTATTGGTCCATCTTTATTCAAGTTAACAGTTTTATAAGGTCACGGCCAAGAATGTCTGTTTCTGGGTCATGATGGAAGATGTGCTTTCCATTATTCATGGAGAGCTTTTGTCTCCTTGGTATCTAGATTTTTTCAAGAGTGTGCGATAATGGACGAGGTATGAGGACCTTTTTGGTCCGGAGTCAGTGGGGATGTAACGTTAGAGCTGGGCTTCCCAAGGCATGCACTTATGTGAATGATTTTGGAGTATAGTTACACTGTATTGAGATAGTGAGTGGAAGAGATAGATGGAGGAGATGGCATGAAGGGGAGTGGGATCGAGGGGGTGAGATAGGGAGAGATAGAGGGAGTATTTGAAAAATGGGCAGGGTAAACAAAAAATGAGTGCTGGATGAATATTGTAGGAGAAAGATAGATAGATAGGTAGATAGAGATTAAGATAGAGAAAGAGAGAGGGTGAGAGAGAGGGAGAGAGAGAGAGAGAGAGAGAGAGAGAGGATGAGAGAGAGAGAGAGAGATAGAGAGAGAGAGAGAGAGAGAGAGAGAGAGAGAGAGAGAGAGAGAGAGAGAGAGAGAGAAATAGAGAAATATGTACAATACATGTATGATGTTTGTATCCTATAAACTGATATTGTACATAAACCTTAGGAAAATCAGGAAATTACAGCCCGAGTAAGTTCGGATGCAGAAATCTATATATGACAAAACAACCTGTCATCCCTACCCTATCACTGACCTCAGTAGTGAAATTCATACAACATTCTTCCTCTGTATTGCAAGGAAAACGGTTTCATAAAACAGCCGACATTCTCCCCTAGGAATAACATTTAGCTTAAGTCTTCCAGAACCATACACTACCAAAAGATATCAGCCACACTTGCAGGTCAAGTTCGAAGTGGCTACAAAATCGCCCTGCCAAATTGCACGGGAATACTTTAGTTGAGAACACCCAAGCCAAATGTTTTTGTTAGGCGAGCATATTTACCCGCTCTGGACCGGAGTAGGATTTCCCGAAAGAGTATTTTCATGACCTCAGGGGCTGCGAGGCAAGTCAAGCTAGCTCAAGCGCAGAAGCCGGGTTTTAAAAGAAAACACGCCTGGATTGCACCCAAACATCAACTCTTACTGTGGCACTCACTTTCTCTCTTTACACTTCATTTGCTCTGGGTTACTAGGCCTAAATTAATCCTGATCAGTGTCAGAATTCGGGATTGAATATTTATTAGTGTCATATGCATTTCCTCAAGCAAGCATCTGTATAAAGAGACCTCCTTACTTCTAAGAACATATTCTGTGTTTTTCGTCAGTAGTGTTCCCATTCATTTATTGTTGAACTTTCTTATAATGGGCACCTACATGTACCTGTTAAAGGTAAAGAATATGGTCATGCGATTGCATTGTGAAAGAAACGTTGTGGAATCGATCAGAAAAGGTTGATCATCTAGCATCTAGCATCTGCAAGGTTCTGGAATCATCAAAATAATAAGAAATTTGGCCCATTGTTCGTAAAGTTACAAGCACTATACACAGAAAGATGTATATGGGACTACCCTATATCTCTCACAGACCATGAGAGAAACAAATTTACCAAATATATGAATTAGTAGGCGGTTTCCTGGCAAAGTTTTTATCATCATGTATTAGTCAAAACATATTCTTTCACATGATTGGTAATGAGAGCTTCCATTTCATTTTTGAAATTGGGGCGTTTCCAATACTGGTCTTTACCTTTAAGACTCTTGTTTTCCTTTTGGTAGCTGAATTCAAAGGTGTTGGTGCAAAGGCTAGTAAGTGTTTGTAAAATGTATTTCTTCTACAGGTGCCCCCTTTAAAACAGTTAGTTATGATCCTTTATGTAAATTATATAATGCTCATAAAGTTTAAAGACCACTTTTCTCATTTCCCTTTAATAGCTGGATTTGTTATTTTTTTGTCATCATGGCTATGATGGTTTAATGACTTCTCCAACATTGAAGATGTCCGTTGAGTACCATGAGACGTGGGAGGCAACAACCTTACTTGATTGATGACATGTGAATTCATAATGATTAGGGAAGGGTGTCAGAAAGGATTGTATCTCTTCTTTTCATGTTCCCTTTCTCTGTCTGTTTTCTTCCTATTTCAACTCTTTATTTCACTTTTTTGTCCTCTGGCATTTAACAGATGATGTAAACAAAATTAAATAAAAATGGCTGTAATTGTGAATAGCATCCCTCTAGCTTTTGTTAGAGTTTTATTCATCTTTCGTTCATTTGCCAGAGTTAAGGCATTAATTCTCATTTATCAAGTACTTTACCGGTAAGAAGAAAAGACTTCTGGCCTTAGTTCCCCTGGGATGCTTATTTGATTAGAAGTAATTTACTTACTTTCTAGGCAATATAAAGGGAAAGAAGCAAAAAGAAGACAAAAAAGAAGGAACTACAATTAGTTGTTGTGTCAGTAAAAAGTAGCTTTTTCCCGTCCAGAACTCCAGATACCATTCATCAGATCTAAATACATGAACAGGATGAGGGAAGATGAGAATAGTCTGTTACAGTTTATGCACATAATCCTTGTTTCAAAACCAATTAATTACCTGTAAGTGATTTTGAACGTGTATTCAATAATTGAGACCAGTATTCAATAGCCGGAGTGAGTTTTCAAGGTAGAGGCGCTGAGACGAGACGTCGGAGGCATTTAGTTGTCATAGAGGGGAGCTTTACAGGTCGTCAACGATAGTGGCGTGCGCGAGGGAAGACAAGCGACTGATGTAATAGTATCTCAGAACCCCATTGCTCCTGTTAGCACCCAGGGGCACCTCTGTCAGGGAGGGATGTCAGTGGGGGGAGCTAGTGTGTTCACGAGACGGTCCTTGTGTTAGTTATCATTTTAAACCGCACTGCACTACTTCTAGCTACTTGCGCCTTCTTTATAGCAAACAATGCCTAAGCGGTACCCGTTGATTCCCCCATGATGCCCCTTTTCTTATGTTAATCGAGAGCTGATTTGATGAGATTACTACCTGGCAGTGACCTCGCAGGGAGGTCTCATCCCCCTCGCCAAAATAGTGCAGACAGGCTTTAAGGTCACGCACTGCAAACTATACAGTTCGACAGATGTCAGATTTGTGAAGAATCCCAATTGTATGAGACATGGAAATCTTATGAAGTCTAATATTCTTGATCAAGGTTCTGCATGATTAGGTATACAAATACTGAAACTAATAATTTGGGAACATTGTAAGCCTGAGTTTGAGTCATGAAAGGCCAATGGTGTATGGCGATTTTTCCAGTATTTAATCACAAATATTTATCCTAATTTGAAATCTGCGATTCATGTAACCAGTGAATAAGAAGCAAAGTCAGCAATGTTTTCTTACACATCTCATTTGTGTAATTCCCATGAAGACGATGAGCGCAATCCAAATATCACCGTTAGTCAGTAGCCCATCAAATCAAATTTCATTCGGGGGAAAGAAAGGCTAGGAATGCTGGAAAAGGGGTAACTCGATACGGAGTTGTGAAATGTCTTCTCTCTTGCGAGGTTTTCTTACCAAAACTGTATTATTCATCGATCTAATATTTGTGAAATAGAAGAATTGGTTGATGTTCCCTCGTCGAAATATGAAACCGTATTGCTGCCGAGGGTATGTTGAAATCTAATTATGAATTATATCTACGCTGCCGACCTCTGTTGAATTAGAGAATGCAGGTCATGTGAGTCAGGTCGAGATTAGGAGTTTGAAGGTAATTTGGCCCCAGCGTGTTGATGGAGACAATTGATTTAATAGTCAGTCTCGTTTGCTTATAAATCATGCTGTAAATTAATTGTTCAGACAAGCAAAAATGAAAATGAAAATGAAATCATGGAAATGTGTAAAAAAATCACATGTATGTAAAGTGTAGTTAAATTAGTACACAGCTATATCAATGCAGAACTTTAATTTCTAATGGGGAATGAATGCATTTATGTATTTGTGCTATGTAAGCTTTTACAATGTACTAATAAACCAAATGTATATGGCTATTAGAACTCAGAAAATACATGTTGCAGAAAATGGATGATAAAATGTTATTCCCTGAAACTACACATACATGTAAAAGTAATTATGGCCTCATAAGCCAGATTTTATCAGGTTTATCTGCAATACATACATTTAGGGATAGATATTGTATTCAGTGTAAATTGGTTGGATGCTGTTAAAATTGCTCTGTCAGTGTATAAATGTAGTAAAAGTTAAAGACTGGCTGCAACATATGACTTTTCAAGAACCGTCGGGTTTATTAAAAAGTGGGAGTCGACTGTTAGGTTTCCTGATTATGTATGCAAACACAGTATTGAAAAGCACAGCAGGCATGGAGTGAAAGAGAGGAGATGGGGGGGGGGGGGAGAGAAATGGGGGTAGAGAGCGAGAGAGAGGTTTGCAAGAGTAGCAAGCAGTGAATTGAATGAAACATTACAGCTCGATTAACAAAAGAAGAGCGAGGATGGTTGGGAAAGAGTAGAGAATGAAGGAGAACTCAACTTGATTGAAAAGGGTAGAAAAAGGGTCAAGTGAGAAAGAGATGAGTGGGATAGAGTAAGAAGAGAGATGGAGTGAAAGTAAGAGAGACAGGGAAGAAGGAAAGAGAAACAGACAATAAAAGAGACAGAGAAAGAGAGAGACAGAGATACTAAGTGAGAGAGACGCATATACAGAAAAATGAAATGTCAGAAAAAAAGTATCTCCAAGATTCAAATGAATCAGAAGTTCAAAAGAAATTCAGGAATTGAAAGAGAAATTGAAATGAATAACTCCCTCGGTGAGCTTACAGGAGGAAAAAAATTCTCTGCTTGCCTACCGCAATCTGGAACAAAAATGAATACATTAGCAGTCCAGTCGTGGTGTGAATACATGTAATAGCAATCTGGGCTTCTGTACATTACATGCTATGAATACACCAGATTGGTAGAAATGGACCAATTCACATTTAAAACTTAAAGATAAAGATCAGTTCTGGTCATGCGATTGCATTGTGAAAGAAACGTAGTGGAATTGATCAGAAAAGGTTGATCATCTAGCATATAAATATTGGTGTGTACTGCAAGGTTCTGGAATCCTCAAAATGATAAGAAATTTGGCCCAGTCTTGGTAAAGTTACAAGCACCGTACACAGAAAGATGTATATGGGACTTCACACACGTGCACGACAAGTACGATTTATCTATCACATCCCAATAGATGAACTAATTTAACAAATATATCAATTAGTAGGCGGTTTCCCGGCAAAATTTGTATCATCATGTATTAGTCAAAACATATTCTTTCACACGATTGGTAATAAGAGCTTCCATTTAATTTTTTTGAAATTGGGGCGTTTCTAACACTGGTCTTTACCTTTAACCTGTTTACGATTGTAGATTTAAGATCAATCATGGCGCTGTCTTATAAAGAGTTGATATCAATCACAACTTATTTGTGATTGATATCAACTGCAACTATGTTCGGTACATATTAAAGATATCAAAGACTGCAAACTTGTGATTGATTGGAGGTCTTGCAATTGATTTGGATCAATCGCAACTCTTTATAAGACAGGGCTCATACCTGGTAATTTTGGTTTTTACTACATGTGTGAATACATTTGAAATATTGTCTTCCTGTACATGTTATATACTATTAATATACCAGACTGGCATATTGGGCGCATTTACATATCAAAACAAACCTGTTTACTATTGCAGATACCTGAATAAGTTCACACAGGGTACTCTGGGCTTTCCTACATGTGTGAATGCAATAGCAGTCTTGGTTTTATGTACTTGTAAACATATTGGCCCGAATTCACAAAGCAAGGTTTGAGCTCAGACCAAGGTTTGAGCTCAAACCTCCCTTTGTTTCGCTAAACCTCCTTTTGTTCTTTACAAACCAGGTTTGTAAAAAAATGTGTAAAATGCGTCATATGACATAAGAAAACCAAGGTTTGTCGACAAACCTCCTTTGTGAATTCGGGCCATATCAGGTTGGCAGACCCATTCACATTAAACAAAATCTCAAGGACAGATAATTGATAAAATACACAAGTGTGAACCCAGCCACTTTTCTTTTCCCTTCAAGATACACATAGTATGACTGCCATGAATATGGATGAATGCTATCGTCCGTTAGCTTTGATTGCCCTCCAATGTCTGATTTAGTCATCATAATAGCTCTGACCCAGATGGAATCCTTCTGCAAATTCTATTATGAGCATTTTCCTTGTAATATCTAATATTCATATGAAATGAGCACCCCCCCCCCCTTCTCAATAAACTGTTCAAAGCTGGAGATGCCTGATAGAGACGATGCTTTTGATAGTTTCAATGGAAGAAATTATAATTGGTGTTTTGTTAGGGTTGTGGGGGGGGGGGGGGTGGTGTCATGAAATATGGAGGTATTGATATGTTCATTTAGTGAAATTCTCAATTCAGTGATTTACTTGAAAGTGCAGCTGAAATTGATATTGCATTCTAACATTATTAAAATGTAAATGATCAAGGTGAATTGTATGATTAAAAAAATTGTTTAAACCAATGTATACAATGTTTACCGGTATTTCAAAAATGTAATTGTCAAGAAAAGACATGATTATATCTTTCAGTAACAACTAAAATGGAAGTTTTACACATTATTAAATAGTTGGGGGAATAGAAACAGTGTGAATACAAAATCTACATGTGTTAACCTTTGGGAACAATGAGATAAAGAATGGATTATTTGTCAGTTCAGTGCCAGAAGAGCATTAACTCTTTAGATTGGCAAAGTGTGACGCCATCAAAAAACCATTTTTCAATGGGGAAATCACTGTTATGTTGCTCTGGTTCATAATGTTATAAACCAGAGCAAAATAACAGTTATTTCCTATTGAACTCTATTTACTCTGATGGTCATATCTCAGCCAACATCTAACATATTCAATTGATTTTCGACATTTGGACATTATTTTTATGCTCTTTCGGAAAATGAAGTTCAAATTCAGAAATTCTAAAAATAAATGTTTATGATGTCGCAGCTTCGGTACTCTGTAGTATATATGAGCTAAAGCCTATTGGGCTCCAAACAGAGCTAATCTATCTGATGTCTCACCCTGCCTTCTATCTTTTCTCACTTCCATTCTTACAGAGTTTTCCATTGATGCTGCAGTACAGATCAAGACAAGAGCTATGACAGCAAGCCGCCGTCTTTCCCAAAGACAAGACTCTTTTGCTGCAAGAACTAGACCAACTTTGGAAGGGAAAGACAAGCGTATTATCGACTTCTTTCAGTTAAGGACGCCAAACACGATGGACCATCTTGAAAGGATAAACGATGACTATTTTTATGAGATCTTATACCCTGAGAAAACAACTATTAAAGAGCCGAAAACCTGCCATCTTGTGTGTATATGTATATATGAATATATAAATCGGATTACGGAAAGCGTAGGTGACAGTCGCGCTCCAACCGTTGGTTGTCGGACATCGTGACCTCGTGACCTCATGTGTTTTGTATGTGATTATCATGTTGCTTCCCCGATACTAGCGATTCCTCTTCCCCTTGCTGACTGCATGTTGATGAAAGAAGAGCAAGGTCCATGAAGCTGTGTGACCAATATGTGTTTCTCTGTCAGGAAAGTCATGCAGCCTGTACTTGAGATCCTGTCCTGCAACTTGTATGCAAATCCTGTATAAACTGCAACAGAGGTTGTCCAAAGTCCAGCAGCTACCGCTTCAGTGTCTCTCATCCCATTGCTGATCAGATGTTGGAGTATCACAACCAGTTTCAACTATTTTTCTTGTTTTTATTTATTTTTCTTCATGTGCTATAAATTAAATGAATCCTTACAGCCAGTTTAGGGAACAAATAACAAATGTTTGTGAAGGTCTACAGTGGTCCAACTTCTCCCTACAATCGCAGTGCAGTCTTTGATGCTTGGTTCCTCCACACGGTAATGATAAAGGGATTGTTGCTCTGTAGACTGTATCGCTGTCCCAACGGGCTACAAGATCTATCCTTAAGTTCTTCATGCAACCTCAAGGAGAAAAAGTTCCCATGAGCTTCTACACTACCTGTGCAAGATTGCAGGAGAAACACCACAATCTTGCCACCTTGCTACAATGATCTTCAGATGAATCTTTGCAGATGGATTTAGGAGTGGTCAAAGATAGATCTCCAGAGACCACTTCTTAGACAACTTGCTTTTCTTTCTGAACGTCTCCTGTTCCTGATGCTGCAACATAGTGTTAGATTCTTATATATTTCGTCCATCTCAGATTTTGTAAGTAGAGTTGTAAAAAAATCTGGTTGAGACCGTGCTTAGAGCTGGCGATGCATGTAACAGACAGACTTTAAACTCAAACCAGGACCTTGGTGCATTCAACTTGCTATCACTTGCACCTTCCTGTGATCAATGGCAAATCCTTCTTTAACCTTTTTATCTTTGGAGAAAATCAGTTTCTGTTAGAATTGCATTTAATTTGATATTTTGCAAGTGATAGCATGGTTTATGTACATGTACATTTTCAGAAAACAACTGTAAAAGAAAGTCATCTCAAGATTGTCTTACATCTGCAAGTTTTCTTCACTGTTGCCAATCAGTATGTTCTAAACTTGTTGGTTGCCTTATATTGATAAATAGAATCAACTAGACCTAGGTATTAGGAATCAATCTAACTCTTGCATCTTTTGCATCTGTGACCTTTGTTAGATGTCAACATAAGTCACTCTACCTTATTGACACTTTACATCATTTAGCACATGAACACCCACTAGCACAAAACTTCATAAAAGCCTTGCTCTTTTTTATTGAGGGATTCTAGTTGTCAAAATGACTACCGGTAGTAATATTAACAATATTGCATATACTATTTTTGTCTAGCTAAATAATGTTGGACTTGAATCAAATTCTTTACAATCCATACTCAGTATTAGATTACCATGCTTGCTTTGAACTGCTTTAAATGGTCAGAACCAGTTGAAACCCATTGAAACCAGTTTGAACTGGTTCAGACTTGTTCCGAGCAGATCCACCCATCCTCCTTCCATATGCTAGCTCACTGCCACTTTGTTAGCAATATACTTATAGACGTCCACCCTTATCATCAATTTTGATTGGTAAAAGCATCAATGTACACAAGTATTTTCTATCTCTCTATAAAAGATCTTTACCAAGGAGTATTTTTAATATACCTATTGAGTTTTGTAAATTGTCATCTTTCAGAAGTTCATATAATTGAACCTCTCTAAAGCTCTTTTTTTTAATGGTTTACTGGTACCATAGTGTGATAACTGCTTTTGAATCATGATATTAAAAAAGCCGAATGAAGATGATAATAATAATCATGAAGGTAAAAATTCCCAATCAACATTTATTTTAGCTATGATAACTTGAATGGATATTTGTCATGCTTTTTGAGAGTAATACCCTCAATTTTTTATATCGTAAACGATACTTCCTCCCAAAGGCATATTTATAGAAATACTGTGTATGCTTTAGTTTGAAGGATGTATACATTACGTACACCGCCCACAAATTGCTTCTCTATTCCTCTTTAATGTCCGCTTCCTCATAAATGCAAAATTCGTCAAGTGTCGTATCTATATCGGAGACTTCCGATGGAATAGGGAAGTTTATGGAAGTTTCTCTTTCAATTTTCAACATTTAATAGAAGGCATAATCTTTCAGTTTCAAAATTCCTTGTGAATTCTATCCGACTTGTTTATTTTAAAAAGCAGTCCATATCTTGGAGTTCGACCTTCAAAATACCTGTGCTAAAATCTCAGGAGAGTCTATGAGCTTGTGTATGTCAATGCTTTGTAAACCTAAAGGTATGCTTGAATTTTGTATGAAAATACATATTTTCTAATCGTCATTTTTTATGAAATTTTCCTGCAGCAGCTTTCCTTGCGCATACACATGCCATTACCATCAGAAAACTGAAACCATCAGATGACAATTTGTGCCACTTTGTTTTTTTTCTTTCAAGTCCCCATTGTGACTTGTAGTCTGTTTTTGTAACGTTTTCTACCAGACATTGTACATGTATATGTCATTATTATTTTGTTTGATAAATTTTGAGGTGGAATATGATGAGAAAGTCTCAACAAGATTTCCATAGGATATTTGCCACACAAAGTTTGTGAAAATACATCATATTTGAAAAAAAGAGTGTAAACTTTGCCCATGTCCTCAATTAATTTGTCTGTTAAACATACCCTGAAATCTGTCTCAATGACCACCTCTATATTAATGGCTACCTGTGTATTCTGGCCACCTCTAGTTGATGTACATTAGAACCTGTTCAGAAAGGTCAAGTGTGACCACTCTTTCTATATCATTTGTTAATGGCCTTAACCAACAGGTTTAATTGTACCTGTTCTCATATGTTAAAAACAGTAAAATCATGTGTTGTAATTTTTCTCTCAAAACAATTGTATTTGGAAGGAAGGTGTATTTGAAGAAAGCATTGAGAAGGAAATCATGTTGGAACAGAATTCTGAGATTTGAAAAATCATGGATGTTTTGAAATTGAAACTGTACAGAGTACATGTATTTATCATTATTGACTTATATGTAATGTACATGTTTGTATGTATATCTTGAGAAAGAATAGCACTGGTAATTGCGCAATCGAAAGGCAATTGAATATATATTGTATGGTCGTGTAATATATGGCGGACATAGTTTATGAATTAGTAAATTTGTCGTGGAACACATGGAAACATAATGGGATGGATTCTGACATGTTGTGTCTCGTGAATGGTATAGCGTTTGAAGTAAAGAAACAGTGACATTTTCATGGATTACTGTACAGTGTCGAGATGAACAAAATTGCATACCGTCCACATGCATGATGAGTAAACAAAATAATATAATTGTGAAATGAGAAGGAAGGAAGATTGTATCTTTTTATCTGTCTTTCTATCGTTCTATCTTCCTGTCTATCTTTCTATTTGTCTGTCTACCAGTATATACCTATTTGTTTATCTATTTGTCAATTTTTTCTCTCTGTCTCTCTTTCTATCTATACTCCCTATTTATACTATCTAAATTTATCTTTTCTATATTATCTATGTATGTATGTATCTATCTTCTACCTATCTGTCTATCTATCCATATCTATCTCTCAATCCATTTATCTGTGTGTCAATCAATCCATCAATCTATTCTCTGTATCTTTCTATCTATTACTTTTCAATCTACCTGTCTGCCTTTCTATGTATCTATCAATTTAGTATCAATGTATCTGTCTTCTATCAACCTACCTATCTATCTATCAGGTATCTGTCAAATCTTCCTGTCTATTTATCTATTTATCATTCTAATGTATCTATTCATCTATCAACTGATCTCTCAATAATTATCGCCTTTTCAAAATACAAGTGGATGAATTTTTTTTTTGGAAAAAGATAGCAAAGTCAGAAAAGGAAGAAAAAAATCTTGATCATGAAAGTCACAATGAAAATGTTGGCTGCATGGATTGAGCTCAATTTTGTCCATCTCGATCAGTGACAGTGTAGCTGAAAATGAAACAGGATATACATACATGTGCGTACTACTGTGTACCGGTAGCTATATGAGCCATTCTCTGACAAAGTGTACAAGTTCTTGAGTATTGATATGTGAATATCCCATTGTCTGCAGAAAGAAGACCGGGTTGTGTGGTCACTGTGATGTCATTAAAATTGAAGAAGATTGTATGTACATGTACGTGGATTAGATGAAGAAAAAAAAATGAATAACTACGAGGTTTATAATCATGAGAGCTTGGAAGGAGTAGTAAAGCAATTCATCGCATTACATGGACAGTTTAACAACTAAATTATTCATACCCTTACCAAGTCTTGTAAATCGTTAACTACCAGGTATGTGACAATTTGACATATTAAAACTAACATATAAAGTTATACCACAATGGCCCTAATTCGATCAGTCCACCTTTCATTCTTGAGTTCAGCAAAACACACAAAAACATCAAGTTTACAAGGGGTATGAAAAATGTATTTGTCAACTGTATATCTACATGTATAATGAGATGCAGAAAGGCACTGGTGTTGAATAGAGCTTACTGCTTTCTGGCGCTCACCATATCATCTGGTGAGAGTGAGATGGACGTAAGCTCTGTGTAAACTGATAATGCCTGTTTGGAGCTACAGTGGGGCATACACTCATATACCGTAGCACAGAGTTTACATCCTTCTGGCTCCGAACAGACAACAATGTGAGTAGAGACGTCCTTCTGGCTCTCGGCAGGTGATACAAAACCCACTCAATCACCGGGAGGATCGTCTCCACTTTCTGAACAATCGAAGAACATGTCATGACTGACGGTGCGCTCGCATCATAGCACCGCAATGTCATTAGTCAATCAATTATAGGGGGAGGTGTCAGTCCTGTCCATGTAATTGATACAGACTACCATGTATCAGATGCACATTACATCTTAAATAATACATGTATCAGGTTTTTATTTGCTTGGGAACTGCAGCACATGCTTCAATGTGGCTCACTTCAAGTGAATGATATGGTGATGAACAAAATCCTTCATTTTGAGTGGTCTTTGAGGGGCTTAACTTGTTACACACGTCAAATGTGCATAGATTATCATGGATGATCATCCTGTGTTTAAATTAGTACATTAAACACATGCATTTCACACTTGTTTTTCTGCAAGTACAGCTTGGTCAGTTGAGCTGAACTATTCCATTAATGTGTGAGTAGGTATGTTTTCATCAGCTTGAGATTGCCAAATAGCCCCTACTTCTGATTTGGGAAATAAGCCCGAAGATACAAATCGCGTCCTCATCAGCTCGAGACTCGACCTCGAAATTCAAAACTAGAGCTCGAGAAATTAGCTGGTGATATTTTGCTCAGCGTTCATGCATAGATAGCGGGATATTTTGCAAACTAGCACAAGATAACTTGGGATGATATCTGGACCAAATTTCCGCTAATTGCAACTGCTGGCTGATGAAGACGCAAATTACCTGGATAGTTTGTGATCGGGATAGTTAAAATAGCAGGTTATTTGGCAATCTCGAGCTGATGAAGACAGGCCTACTGAGTACCATGGGCACCACAGACAATTTTGTGTGTGTGTGTAGAATTCCCAGGTGTGAGTTGTGAAGTTCAACCAATTCAGTACATCATTTGGACGATGTCCCCATTCCCAGCTGACTTGGCTTACTTCCTCATAAGAGACAACAGCTGATACCTCCCGAGCATGGTTTTGAATGATGTATGGCATGTCAGAAACCTCTGTCTTGAATATTGGTCACTCTGGTTTTTCAGAACTAGCCCATTGAGTGGCCATCTTGAAAATGGTCTGTAGTCAAATCAAGAGTGTTATGTTTTGTGGACAATAGATCGTTACAAACTTAAAAAGTTAGTTGTCACATAATGAGATCAATTTAACTTGGCCTGGCACTCAATATTTCATATTTTACTCTTTCACCGAATCTTCACCAACTCATTTTAAGTTACATCAGATCTGAAAGATCGATGTAGGTTACATAAGGCAAGACATCTTGAGCATTTCCACTTGCATGCTTGTTCGTAATGTGATATGTAATTGTTAGAACAAATGAAAGTGATCTGTACACACGTGAGAGCACTTGTTGTGGAGTAAGGCAGATATTTTTACTTTCAATGTTATACTTCAATCTGTTCAGCAATCTTTAAACAGTGGTGCTAAAACTTTCCTCACTCTCGGTTTATTGACTAGCTACCTGCTTTCGATTGTACACTCGTATTGTCATTAAGCATGATTTATTTTAATGTTTGTATATCAATAGGGCACCAAAGCTCTGCTCTGTACAACAAATGTATTTTGTATTTCATTTCCACATACTCTATGCCATGCTTAACTGCAGTCTATCAATCACTCATTTGTCATGATTTTTTGTAACAAAGCTTCTCTCTTTTCTTTCTTCTCTCATTTATGGATATTGGGTAAGGGGAGGGGGTGTTTGCTAAAAAAATGTGCCCCCTCCCCATTGTGCCTGTGCCCCCTGTCACATATTAGATGCAAAAAAGGCACTTGAAAATGCGACAACTTTCATTTTCTCATTTAAAAAAAGAAGTTATTTAGCTTGTCAGAGATTTTTGATAATTGTGCCCCTCCCCCTTTTTACAGAATCCTTGATCCGCCCCTCTTCGCACTGACTTTATATACTTGACTACGAAGTGAAAGTTTTATGCTGCATTTTTAACAGTGGACAGAATGTGTATTAATGCCTTGCGAGGGGAGAATCACGAACATAAGGGAAACTACAGTGTATTTATGTGAAAGGAACAGGTACTTGTATGGCCTGTAATGTCATTGTTAGTGGTGAAATTCCATTTATGTTGACAAATTAGGAATTCATTTTATTTCATTGATACATATCAAAATCATGTTTGGATTCTGCTTGTTTGTAAAACATTTCTTTTTGTTATTTTTCCAACCACAAATTCTAGTTTAAATCAATTGTTGCTGAGAAGACAGATTTTTTTTTTAATGTATTAAATAATACATTAAAATTTATAAAGAGAATTTACAGTAGGTTCATATACTTCAGTGATGAAAATTAAAGTGTTAGTAAATGAAATAAAGTAAATATTGATAGAATTCATATTATTAATTTTATTTTAGGATTTTTAATAAGACTAGTATATATGATAGAATTTGATGTATTTTGTAATGCATTTTACGTAGAAAAATCTTAGACCCACCCAAATGAATTTCGATATATTTGTATTGAATCATGAGATGAAAGAAGTTTCTATTTCTTGATGAACTACAAGAGGAATTGCTATTGTTTCTCTCACTTGTCTTACAATGTTTTACGAGGTCATCCATGGAATATGTATGAACTGGAATTTGTATTGTGCTAATATTGCTCATTGTGTAATATTAATATTAAAGGTAAAGACCAGTATTGGAAACGCCCCAATTTCAAAAAATGAAATGGAAGCTCTCATTACCAATCATGTGAAAGAATATGTTTTGACTAATACATGATGATAAAAAAATTGCCGGGAAACCGCCTACTAATTCATATATTTGGTAAATTTATTTCTCTCATGGTCTGTGAGAGATATAGTGTAGTCCCATATACATCTTTCTGTGTATAGTGCTTGTAACTTTACGAAGAATGGGCCAAATTTCTTATCATTTTGATGATTCCAGAACCTTGCAGATGCTAGATGCTAGATGATCAACCTTTTCTGATCGATTCCACAACGTTTCTTTCACAATGCAATCGCATGACCAGAACTGGTCTTTACCTTTAATATTAATATTGTATGCCGAGAGCTAGAGGGGTGTTAACTCGTATCATTTTTTAGAATTAAACACCTTTCTGGTTCTCAGCAGATCATGTATTGTCTTGGAATATTGAGGAGATGAATTTTGTGAAATTATTATTTTTGTTTTTGTTTCCAATGAAATGATTTTTTGGTCGGTGTGATACAGTATGGGATATTGTTTCATTTGTTGACACCGTCGTCGTTTATGTGCATGGAGGAAGAGTGGTAGGAGATGATAATAATGCAAATAATAAACAGTAAAAAAACACTATGCAATATTGTCTTGGCATATTTTATTCTTGGTATGTATATTCTGTATTCAGTGATCATGTCAGATGACATCGAGGCAATGGGGGAAAATACCCAGTACATGTAATGTACATGAGAACTGTAGATACGTATATAGAGGTAATGGATCGAGGGTAAGAAGGGAATCACAGAATAAAGAGAAGGTCAGAACGGCAGCTGAAAGTGAGTGAGTTTATGTGGGAGAGAAAGAGAAATAAAGAGACAAAAAGGTAAAATGAAAGAGGGAAAGAGAGATAGAGAAAATAAAACCATGCGCGGGTTTAGAGTGAGGCAATAGATTATACATTTAGCCCGACAGTACTGAAGTAAGAGAAAGAACCCCAAAGAAGATGAAAACACAGACATTGAAAATGTGTGAGATGTCATGGGACATCGTCTGCTTGTGCAAATCATGTCCATACTGTGATCTCACACATCTCAGCAGCGTTCGGAGAGCTGTTCAGGTGCTATGCCTGGGCTGTATTTAAGCATTTTATAATAATCATTACTTTGAATGTTTCCAAGCATTGAATTTTGATAACCTTGTCGAATCAAAGTTTCAACTTTGCAATAATGAAATTAAGTTAGTTTTTAAAATCAATGAATATCTACTTTAAAAGCACTCCACCCCACCAAGATACATTAAAATATCTCTCTCTCTCTCTCTCTTTTCTCTCTTTCTCGTTCCCCTCTGCTCTATGTCCCTCTTTATCTCTCTCTCTCTCTCTTTATTTCTCTCTTTCTCTCCCACACAAATGTATCTAATGGCTGCATCGGTACATCCTCTTTTTCACTCTCAAAGTAATGAATCATGAGGCAACAGTATATTAATATAATGAACTGGTAAGTTTATTCATGAAGTTAGTGGGTAGATTCTTTCTTAGTAAGGTATTTACAGATTAAGTGCAAGATATCCCCCATGGTTGGGAAGGATTTTTTTTTCTTCTTCTGACATTCATGGTTTTAATTTTTCAAATACTTTCCTGAGGTAATTGAAGGACTCCATATACTGGTTAATAATTTTGTTTAAGCATGAAATAGATTTTCTGTATTTGGTGACAAATATTGATCACAAAAATATAGCCAATTAACGATATTAAACATGCATGCATCTATACTTTGTGCATGATTGGAGCTAAAATAAACCAAAAAGTAAAGATAAAAGGAACAAACATTTCCCACTATGAAGTTATATTTCACAATGAATAAAATGCCATTATCTACATGTATTTACATCTGGACTTTTTTTGCTGATTTTATATTTTTTTTGCCACAAAATATTTTACCCAGTTACATAATCAGAAAATTTGACAATAAAAACAATAAAAATGACATGATAAGAAGAACATTATGTATCAAGGAAAAAATGCTCATTCAACATTTTGATCTTTCCTTAAAAAAACCCCAGATACTTTACATTATAAAGTAGATTGTTAGGGCTGATCCAAGATATGTTGCAATGATCTTGAGCTTCAATGTTGTTTGAAAAGGATTTTATCACCATGGGAAACAGCAGAATTGAAATAAACATGATTTATGAGGCAACTTTCGTTTTGATTTTGTGACACAACATTTGAATTATTTAATATAGCAGCAGATATCAATATCTATGAAAAAATATTTTGAAATAAATTGTGAAATCTGCCCCAAAAAGGACCAGGCATACCAAAAGTTGAGTTCAACCATTTAAATCAAAACTGCAGAAAAAAAAAGAATAAACCATAAAGCTGTATTTTCCTGTTAACAAATGGGGAAAGTGATGAATTACAAATAAAAGAAGATTTGTACTAAAGTTAAAAGACATAAAAATACATAAAAGCTTTAAGATTAATTATACAAAAATTGAATGATGACATGGAGCCCTTATTCTGGAAGACTCTTCTTCTTCTTCTTCTTTTTGACGACTGTCACTTCTTCTTCTTCTGGTTCTACATGCCCATTTGACTCCTCTCCCCCAAGACTCTTCTTCTTTTTCTTCTTCTTCTTTGGCGTATCTTCCACTTCTTCCTCTTCCTCTGCTTGCTCCTTCTTCTTTTTCTTCTTCTTCTTGGGTGTTTCTGTTTCCATCTCCTCGGGCTCAGACTCCGGCTCTACTTCTACCTTCTTCTTTTTCTTCTTCTTGGGTGTTTCTGTCTCCATCTCTTCTTCTTCTTCTGCAGGAGGCGCTTCGGATGATTTCCTCTTCTTCTTCTTCTCCTTCTTCTTCTTGCGTGCCAATTCTGCTTCTACTTCTTTGACCTGTGGCAAAAATTGAGAAAAGAGTAAATAGAGGAAATGTTAGGGTAGGTTTATATGCATTCGCGGAGATAAAAAGTTCCAGGAATTTTTACAGCCGACTAGTTAACGTACTGCGTTGACCACCCCCAGACTTGAAAGAAAAAAAATCATCTTCACAATTATGAGCAAACTGTAGTGCATTGCACAAAGAAACCCTTGATTGAGTTACATTATTTTGAGTATTTAACATCTTTGACATGATTAATCTTAAAAATGCATCTTTATGCAATCAAAATTATTATATCATTTTTTCTCCCTCCACAACAACTAATTATAAAACATGAAACATAATCCTCCGAACCAAACTCACTTGTCCTAGAGCCTCCTGCATGACATCAATGTTCTTACGAGGAGCCGTTCCAGTCTCGTAGAATGACAGTCTCTCTTCTACCTGATCCTTCAGCTTCTCACCAAACACGGAGTTGGGTATGTCTGCAAAGAGAACAATTAAGGGAATTTAAAAGAAGAAAACAGACATGCCAAATAGACATATACAGTCTTTAATTTTCATCAATGCTACGAATATGTCGGACTCATTTACATAAATCACACAAAGATATTTGTTTATGAAAATGGCACTTGTACAATACCTACAGGTCTTAACGTTGGGGATAGTCGATTGCTAAAGTAAGAGCTTACATGCAAAGAGAGTGAAGGAGTGGGTTAATATAGACACATCTAATTTTCAACTCTAAAATGACTTGGCTTATTAAAAAGGGAAATGATCATCATAATCATGAGGCCCATAGTTTTGGAGAATTTAAACAATCTGTGAGACTTCAGGGATGTTCATGTCACTAAGTTAACATTCACGAAGATCTTGTTACCAGCAAAATTATTAAAACATGTTCAATGATTAAAAAGAGGAAGCCCTGTAATGATGCTAGAGGATGGGACCAGGGCATAAGAACCCTGGCACCGAAGGTTCATCATGTTTATCTTCCTCCTGGTTGCATTCATCTCATGAACATGGGGAGAGTTCAGAGATGCCAAGAAAAGGAGGTTATCATGGTAAAATAAACAAACGTAGGGGAGTCTATGTTTAAAACTTAAACATCCATTATGGTTCAGTGCAGATGGATAAATTAGAACATCAAAAAGGAATTGCGAGGAAGAGAAATAGTTTTGAGGAGGTAAAATGACTCGGTCAAATAGAAAGTCTGCCTGTCAAACCAAAGATCCAAGTTTATGTCTGAAGTGAAAACATGCCCCTCCCCTGTCCCATAGACACTGGCTGTTACAGCAGAAACGGCCAGTCCCTTGGATAGGATGTTACATGGTGACCCGTATGCTTAAGAGTCACCACCTATATGCATGTTAAGAATCCATGGCACTCTTTGTAAAAGAGTAGGGGAAAACCTGGATGTAGTTGTACTGTACACCTGCACATCCTAATCAGTCATGATAGGAAAAGAGACCCAACGGTTATTGTGATAAAGTTTGCTTCTCCTCCCGGGCACTGGTAACACAAAATGGAGGATCTTGGGAAATACATGATAGTAGAGGACCAAGTCTTGGAACTGACCTGAGAAGCAGTCTATCCTTGAGGCCATGGAGCACTTATTGGCAAGGTAACGAGAGATGCGACCTTTGTTCTTCTGTGCTGCCCTGCCGATGAACGTGGAATGGAAGATGAGACCATACTTGGGGGTGTTGCCACGAGTCTTCAGAGCTCTGGGATATAAAGAAGAAAAGAGGAAACAAAATGATGCTATGTTATCTTTTAAATTGAAAGTTTATAACAAGGACCGGTATTCAATTCAATACTTATTTTTGGCTTAGATAGAATACTTTGACAACTTTGGTATCAGTTGAAGCTACAAAATTTTACTTTGAAAGTCACACGAAGTACACAGATTTATACAGACTCTGAAGGGAAACTATCTAATTGCTCAAGGTTGAACAGTTCTGAAAAAGCATATCAGTTTCCATTACACAGTTCAAGCATGCCTAATGACTCCCATTGGTCTTGTTTTATTTAATAACTTTCAATGAGCATACAAAACTTGGTGAATGGTTGCATGTTGGCACTAGCCCAAGGATAATCTTTGCCTTGAGAGGGCAATACATGCGGAAAACTATTGATGATACATTGAGTGACACAACTTAATTGCATCATAACCATAGCCTTTTGTCCATAGGGGTATCTTCCTGCATGCAGACTTGTCAGTGGTAAGACTTACTGCCATCTAAATTGCAATGATTAAGCTTGACATCAGATTTATAAGGTTTTAGAAAATGTATAAGTTGAGATTTACACGACACTCCATCTGTAGCATCCATACAGTAGATGTATTTCTCTTGTGGTGCTATCAACATTTAGACTTATACTCCTCAACAGAAGCTTGAGCATCTCTTGGGGTGGATATGTGCGCATTATAAATGTTATTATTATTTTATTATTATCATTGCATAAATGACAAATCAAATACTGTGTTTTGGTGAACATGTATACCCACACACACCACGTGCAATCAACAAAAATATTGTAGTTCGAAGGAATACTGCTTGCAGACAAATCTAACAATTGTGTTCTGTATCATTGCTAATTACTTGAGCTGTCTTGAGAGCTTTCTTAATGTCTCAAAAAAACTTACTGTGTAATAAAAACAACACATTCCATAAATAAAACCCTGTAATGATGCTAGAGGATGGGACCAGGGCATAAGGACCCTGACACCGAAGGTTCATCATGTTTATCTTCCTCCTGGTTGCATTCATCTCATAAACATGGGGGAGAGTTCAGAGATGCTAAGAAAAGGAGGGATTAATCTTAAAATGTTGACAAAAAATGTTGATATTGACAGAAAATAAATGTCATGAACATCACACCAAGCTAGCAGTGAAAGTTCAAGTCTACATGCATCATAAAATTATGTAGAGGATACAGATGCTGGAAAACAGACTTAGACAAAAGAAAGGATGACGGAGAGTAGATAGAAGTTTGATGGTTCTACAGTTGAGATGAGATTGAGTTTGAGATTGAGTTGAGTTGAGATTGAGTTTGAGATTGAGTGGAGTTGAGATTGAGTTGCGATTGAGTGTGGTTACCTGAAGAGGGCCTTCTCAGCTCCAAGGATCTGTACAGTAGATGCCGGGTACTTGGCTAGATTGGTTAGACTTCCGGCATGTGAGATCAGACGAGCACCAACCTGTGATACATTGAAAATAGATTCCTCTAATTAGTTAAAGACCCTAACCGATGAAAATACAACTTTATATCCATAGAAATCTGAATGAATGTAGAATATAAATATAAAGGAATACAAAATATTTTCTCTTTCAGTATTGCATTATTTAGTATCATAAATAATACCCTGTAATGATGCTAGAGGATGGGACCAGGGCATAAGAACCCTGACACCGAAGGTTCATCATGTTTATCTTCCTCCTGGTTGCATTCATCTCATAAACATGGGGAGAGTTCAGAGATGCCAAGAAAAGGAGGATTTAATCTCGAAATGTCAACAGAAAATTATGATATTGACAGGAAATAAATGTCACGAACATAACAAAGCTACCGGCATGTGAGATTAGACGACTACCAATCTGTAAAATATTAAAAATACATTCATCTAATTATATTAAAACCTTATCTGATGAAAATACAACTTTCTATACAATTAACGGATCAACAAGGGTAAAATTTACCACGGTTACAGTGACAATATAACATGTGGACCAGATTGGCTCACCTACATAGCTGAAGCAATGAGTCATGGTCAATTGATGCAAAATAAATGTGAATATGTGTACTCCACATAAGGTGCAAGTTTTTCAAAGTCAACAATTTACAAAGCTTTAGATTTCAAGTTCTCAGAGAGCTGTTACTCTTCTAGAAGTATTCCATCCGTTACATGTATATTCAAAGTTCCTCACTCTAGGTGGATAGAATATGTTATTTGGAATAAAAAAAAGGGTAGGCATATGTGACCTTACCCCAATGATCCTGGCAATGGGAAACCAGAAGAAGAAAAATGTTTACACCAAATTCAATCAAATCATGTGAGGTATTGTTGGATTGATTTATTTCCTAAATTTTCAACCAAACGTCATATTATCCTTAAAGAATGCAAATTGGCATTATCTACTGACCTGTTCACCAATGAGAGCTGATAGGTTTGGAGCCACAGCGTGCATCTTGTCCTGAAGGTACGTGTGTAGGCTCTTACGATAGTCCGTTAGTGCAATGACCCTGACAGCAAACCTCTCGATGTTGATCAGGTCGATGGGAGAAATGTCCATACCTGAATGGGAGGCATGTTGGACATGGTGAAAAAGAATTGGGTTAAAATTTCTTCCAGGAAAAAAACACATACGCATAAATAGGCAATTGTCATATTCCTTCAAATTACCTGAAACCATAAATAAGACCCTGTAATGATGCTAGAGGATGGGACCAGGGCATAAGAACCCTGACACCGAAGGTTCATCATGTTTATCTTCCTCCTGGTTGCATTCATCTCATGAACATGGGGAGAGTTCAGAGATGCCAAGAAAAGGAGGGGTTTAATTCACATCTAATTAAGTTCAATAGACGCTACATCTACCCAACAATCTTATTAGTTACAATGAAATTGAAGATTTTGAGACCATCAACAAAAGGTGTTTGTAAACTATGTGAAAGGATAATTTATACCTTAAAAATAACTTACAATAATACATTCACTCCCATTTTCTATGCTCTCCATTACACTTACACGATGAAATAGTAGTACCTTTATAACAATATTAATTTCATTATATTACTGGCACCAACAAACACTTGCTGTGTCCTACAATTTTTCCAAGAGCATTATCTTCAATGAATCTGAACCATTTATTACAAAAAGTGCTGTGGTCTTTACACTACATTAGGTCATCGCAGAAACAAAGACACAATGAATGAAACAAAGCAATATTTTGTTCGTTATAATCATGAATTCAAGACAAGGCCAGTGGAGTGGAAAATGTGCATACATTGTGTGCGGGTGAGCCTGAATTTGATGACCGGGGTAATAATATATATGTAAAGCGCTTTGAGAGGCCTGTGGTTCTGGAAAGCATTATATAAGAACAAACTATTGTTATGGAGAGATAGTCAAGGAGTGACCAGATACTGACCCATTGATGAGCGTGATGCATCCAGGATGGCCTGAGCCTTAGCACTGTCCATGGTCAGTTCCTCAAGGGCTTCAAGCGATTCCTCGCTTAGATCCTTGCGGTTCTTGATGTAGTGTGCGACCTTGGCGTAGAGGGCGCTCTCTGGCACGACCTTGACGAGTTCTGGGAAGTGGTAGGAGTACCACTCTCTGTTGGGATTTGAAACAATTGGAGATGAGTTAAAATAAACATAATTTAAAGTTGTGTAATTGTGTACACATCAATATACCTTTATCATGGCTGTTGTTTTCTGTAAGTTTTTCTACAATTAAATCAAAATTAAATTTGTTTGCACATCATTTTAAAAGAAATAACACAAAGGGGTATATCATAAATGAAGGTACACGTAACATTAATACCAAAAGCAAAAAAAAAATCACAAATTTGAAACTTGAAAAAACTTCATACTTTTATAGTGATCACGCTCATCCCCTCCCCCAAGTAAGTATTCTAGGTTTAATTATAAAACACAGCATTGTGTAATAAAAAGAACACAGACCATAAATAAAACCCTGTAATGATGCTAGAGGATGGGACCAGGGCATAAGAACCCTGGCACCGAAGGTTCATCATGTTTATCTTCCTCCTGGTTGCATTCATCTCATAAACATGGGGAGAGTTCAGAGATGCCAAGAAAAGGAGGTTTTAATTCATATCTAATTAAGTTCAATACAGATACTAAATCTACCTGACAAGCTTATGAATATGTTACAAAGGAATCGAAGATTAAAATACTATCAACAAAAGATGTTTGTAAAATCAGTGAAAGGATAATTATACCTTTAAAATAACTTACAATAATACATTCACTCCCATTTTTGGAGCCCCATACATTTTAAACAAAATTAAGTCTGAAAAGGCCTGAAAAGACCTGAAACATGTCAATGACAAGTTAAACTAGATGGAATTTTGACTGCGCGCAGTCGAAAATGATGCCTCCGCCATAGAGCAATTTAAACAAGTTTGGAGTTTAAATCTCCAGTGGTTTTTGAGATATCATGATAACAATGTATGGAATTTCATAAGTTGACCTCTGTGACCCTTGACCTTTGACCTACGTGCTCCAAAATCTAATCAGATTGTCTTCCTATGGTGATACACACTATCATTAAGTTTGAAGTTTAAATCTCCAGTGGTTCTTGAGATATTATGATATGGTGATACATACTATCATTAAGTTTGAAGTGAAAATTCTCCAGTGGTTCTTGAGATATCGCGATAACGATCTCAATGTATGGAATTTCATAAGTTGACCTCTGTGACCCTTAACCTTTGACCTACGTGCTCCAAAATCTAATCAGATCGTCTTCCTATGGTGATACATACTATCCTTAAGTTTGAAGTTTTTACATCTCCAGTGGTTCTTGAGATATCATGATAACAATCTCAATGTATGGAATTTCATAAGTTGACCTCTGTGACCTGTGACCTTTGACCTACGTACTCCAAAATCTAATCAGATCGTCTTCCTATGGTGATAAATACTATTCCAGAGTCTTAAGTTTAAATCTTAAATGATTCTTGAGATATCATGATAACAATCTCAATGTATGGAATTTCATAAGTTGACCTCTGTGACCCTTGACCTTTGACATACGTGCTCCAAAATCTAATCAGATCGTCTTCCTATGGTGATACATACTATCCTTAAGTTTGAAGTTTAAATCTCAAATGGTTCTTGAGATATCGCGCTAACAAACTCAATACAAGGAATTTCATAAGTTGACCTCTGTGACCTGTGACCTTTGACCTACGTACTCCAAAATCTAATCAGATCGTCTTCCTATGGTGATGAATACTATTCCCAAGTCTTAAGTTTAAATCTTAAATGATTCTTGAGATATTGTGATAACGGTCAAACGGGACGGACGTACGGACGTACGGACGGACGTACGGACGTACAGACGGACAACCCGAAAACATGATGCCTCCGGCACCACCTTCGGTGGCGGAGGCATAAAAATATATGGCAACAGCCTGGAAACTTGCATCCTTAGTACAATATTATTTTTTTCAACATGGTATCCATGAAAATGAATGTATCACAACAAACTCCATCTTCATACTACTCACTTTATCCTCATAGAGAATGTATTGATGTCCTTGTCCAGTTGGTCAAGTAAACAGATGGATTGGATGATCATGTTATCTGCTCTGTTCACGTTGAACTTGACCTTGGCCCTTGAGTAGCTGTGACCCAGACCGAGCTGTGCTTTGGCTTCTGACTGTGCGGTCAGCCCCTTGACCAGTCGATGGAAGTGGTATCTCAGACCTGGCAATAAAGACGATCATCATGGTTAGATATTTGGCATTCTTGCATTAGAGAATCAGAATTTATACTTCCAATTTTGCACATCGTACCTCATCACAAAGGACAATTTAGAAGCTTGCATCTAATCTGTGGAATCAAGTTATAAATTATGAATACAAGAATAATAAAAGAATATTTGGTCTCATATTTTTGAACCACAAAAGACTTCTCTTGTAATGTGAATTGTCCATGTGCATTAACATACAACAACTTCCTAACTTGTACATAGTCATGTACATTGTGACCAGGCATGATGCCAATCCAAGATAAAAAGGGTAATAGGATACAAAAAGGTCTATTGGAAACTGGACCAATGCATTACAAGAAGACAATCCAGAATTACAGTCATAACCTGGGTGTAAGATGGCATTTATCTAAAACTTCATTTTGTCAAGAATACTTTACCAGCTACAGATGCTACCCATTCATGAATGGGCATGAAGTATGTGTAGAACGCTTTGAAGGCAATTTTTATAGCTTGGTCATCATGTTCAGAATACTTCATGCATTACATACTTTAAAAAAATTGTGATATGGATCTTCTTTTGCACAAATGGGACTCTTCAAATTTCAGAAGCAATGAGGCCTCAGCCTCAACCCTTTTTGTCTTGATATAGTGCAACTGGTTACTCAGGGTGCCCGAAAAGAAGAAGAAAAAACTTTTACCTCTTCCGATCTCCTGGAATACGCCTCCCGTCTGACAGGGGATACCTAGTTCCTCCTGGATGGACGCTCCTATCTTCGAATCGGCCACACCCAAAGTGATCTTCTTCTTCTTCTTAGCACTCTCTGGCATGTTGGTCTCCATGAAGAGCTTCAGGTCTTCTGTCATCACACCTGAGAGTCAATGAAAGGAATAAAAATGTATTAGGGTCAGATATCCTCCTTTAAATGTGGCAATTATAATTTTGTTCTTCACATTGATCCAAATAAAATGTGTATACCTTAGATGACAATGTATTAATAGTACATGTAGTATGAGAAGTCCCTCTTTCTACTGCAAAACAATTATTCTGTCTTTGTCAATTCAATGCTTATTATACTTTTTGAAGTCTTGTACGGAAATGCATTTGGGAATGCAACAAAAATTCAAGGACTCAAAACAAAATGTTCATGTGTCAAACCACATAAGAAAGATAAACAGTGACTTCTGGTTTTCATTTTTTATTCATCTACATGTATTTCCTAATTTAGTAAGTTTAAAAAAAAGTGCACAAACATAATTAATTACAAATCAAAACATGGTACTTGCTCCTTACGAAAATGAGATTTAGAAAGATACATAGCTGGTCATGTACACTCTTTCTTTTAACATAAAACTACTGGGAAGTAAAAATTTTGTGGCAACATCTTTCAATTGTAGTTGTACTATTTTACCGTACCTTCAGAGATGCTGTTGATATTTTCAAGGGCGTTGATCCCAGATTTGAAAGGTGAGAAGGCTTGCAGCTTGACCAGCGAGGCAAACTTTCCGAAGTCTGTCACAGATTCTTGAACTTGGTGGTGGAGAACAGAGACCTCCTCAAATTCTTTGATTGCAAACAGGCCGTAGCCTGATGCATGTTCGTATAGCACCATCATAGCCTGAGAGGGAGAAAGAATGTAACATGCAACTGAATTAAATATTTAATTTTGATAATTCAATGTATATGTTGTACTTATTGTGGGTCTTTTATGAAAGGGACATTGTATCAAGGTGATTTTTCTTTTACTTTTTTTGGTCAACTTTGAAATACTACATGTAATTGCCAATAGCATCAGTACATTTTGGTAGCTGAAAAAAAAAAAACCTGTAAAAAACTTTACAAATTATGGCGGTGGCTTGCAGTTTCTTGAATTTCTCTTGAATTCACTTTCCTTCAACCAGACTTCACCGAGCACTGCAATCATGGATGCTTAGTGTTTCTTGTTTATGTAATGAACTTCAGCATTCCAGAAATCCATATTTTTGACTTTTTGTATTTTTGTGTCATCGATAAACTCAAGTCTCTGAGATGCAATGACTGAATAAGCCTCAGACTCCTGTAGTCTGTAGAGTCATGTTATATCTGAAATTCAGACCCATAACATTTGTTTGAACTTCCTGGTGTATGCTTTGATCCTCAGCAGAGAATACTTCTTTAACTTTGTTTTCATTTTCTCCTCATTATTTTCCATAAATTTGAATCATTCCTTCCTCCTTCTTCTGATATTCTCATGTCTAGATCCTGATCCTCTCTTCCATTATGCTTCTTCTGGTTTTTTGTTTGGAATATCCTTTTCTTTCCGTGTTCTTTTTTAATCAGCTTACCATACTCTTTATCTTGTTCCTTCTTGTTTCCCTTCTCTATTTCTCTACATATCTTCATCCTTGTCGATGCTCACCCCTCTTTTCTTACACCATTTTTTTGTTGTCTTTTCCACCTCACATCTATTCCGTTTCCTCCATCCTCTTCTCAATATTAGTTTACTTCTCAGGTGCATTTTCCTTTACTTCTCAGTATTTTGTTTCCTCTCCATTGTGTCTTTCCTAATTTTCAGATCAAATGCACTTTATTTTTATCTATTTTGTTAGAAGCTTCCCAATCTTCCATTCCTTTCTCATCCAGATTTTTCTCAACTGTCCCTTTCCTTCTAAATCTAAAAAGCTGGATGAGAAAGGAGATTTAGAAGGAAAGGGACAGTTGAGACAAATCTGGATGAGAAAGGAATGGAAGATTGGGAAGCTTCTAACAAAATAGATAAAAATAAAGTGCATTTGATCAGAAAATTACATGAACGATATATCCTCGGGAAGACGGACAACTCATGAACTGGGGGTATATTATAACGCAGAATCCTATTTTTGCATTGCCAGCGCGCGAATCGGTTAACCTACACCGCAGAGCGCCAAAGAAGAAAGATGATCCTTATTTTGTAGGACACGTTTTGTCCACGTTTACAAAGATATCCTTGCTTGTTTATGCGGATGATCCTTGGTAACCCTAATGTTCATAGCATTAATGTTTTGTTTCCTTTTCGGTTGTTGATAAATTGATTCCCCCCCCCCCCCCTGCTTTTGTGTTTCAATTAATTTTATTTATTGGCTCTCATTCTCAAATTCGCGCTGCCAGCTTCTGAAGTTCAAGTTCAGTTTCTGATCAATAACATTGACCTTTAATGACATATAATTACTACATTAATCATGTAACATTCCAATACAGATTGATACAGGGGTGTTCTCATTCTTAAGTCATATTTTAACAGTCATTTTGGAGCCCATCGATCATCATGCCAAAAATCATTTTCATCACGCCAATTTCAATACGGGGGACCACATCAACAACACATGCTACAGAACGGGCGAAATTTTTACATACATGCAAATTCATCTAAATTATAGATAAGAAAAAGAATAATGAGGAATGAATAAAGAAAAATTACGAATATTTACCATTTTTAAGGCTATGCAGCACACTTCAGTTTGAAATAACGGAGATTTTGGGTTAATTCATCACTTTTCTTGTCAATGTCACGCTAAACACATGGCATGGCACGCAGTACTATTTCAGGCTTTGAAGATTGCGGAAATATCATTTTTTAGCAGTAATTATTATTTTCAATATACATTAAAAAAAATATTCAAGGTGAAAAAAATATAAAATTAGATATTTAATTTATTTAAGTATTTTATTTACTAACATTTATGGTTTAAATTGATTAAAGCTCTAAATTCTAATCTTTTGATTAGCAACGTAAAGTTGTTGATTGTTGCCGAGGTGAATATTTTGGAAGTTTGTTCTTTATTCTGCCATTTAGACGTAGATAAAACTCTTTTTAGCATCTGAATTTGACGAGAATAGTAGGTAACTATTTTTTTAAAACTATTTATCGTAAAACTAGAGTTATACAATCAGCTTAAAGTATTGAAATCGCTCTGTATTTGAAGAATGGAGAAATATTTAGTCCCATGCGTTGGTTTTCGTGTAGCCTGTAGCTGTAGGCTTAGGCTTCTTCTTCTTCACGATAATCTGCCTCCTTCAATACTGAAGATTCTTGCAGATGCCGTATACTCGGCCTGATTGGGGTGTGCAGGTGGACCATTACACCGGGGTTTCCCCCTACTCTTATACGAAAAGTGCAATGGGTTCTTAACGTGGTGACTCTCCTGTACACGGGGCCTCCATTTAACGTCCTATCCGAGGGACGGAGTGTTTTCCACTTGACATAACCTGCGTATATGAACAAGGGAAGGGGCACGTTAACACACAACGCTGACTTCAGTCATCCGCCTCGGTGGGAGTGGGAGTCGAACCCGGGATCTTTGGATCAACAGGCAGACGCTTTACCGACTGAGCCAACTCGCCTCCTGACGTCTTCTACTCTGCAGAGTGGCATTTAATTTCATCATATAAATTGATGTCTTGTTTCCACCTTTTTAGTTTTGTCGGTTAGCTGTGTTATAATTATTTTTACTCTTAATCTTCCCTACTTGTCATGCATGTAGGGAAAAGACAGGGCACACCCCGCACAGCCTCAGGAGGAAGGTTTTGAGGGTCAGGAGGAAAGTTTTCTTTTTTAAAACTTTAAAATACAATGAAACTTTCTTATGTCCTTGTTTCCAATGATAAATCAGTTGATCCATCAGCATGGAACTTCATCCAATACTAGAGAAAGGAGAGTGGCTATGCAAACAGAATCTGTGGTATGTGGTGTCAGCTCGTGGGCAACATCCCAGCATGAGGGTTGGCCAGTGTTGCTGCCACATTCCTTCTGGTGGTGGTGGTGGCATCGGCAAGCTGGCTGTGATCGGAGGAGCTAACCCCAACGGACCGTTTGATGAGACACATCTACTTGAATTTGGTAATAAACAACTTCAGATAAGACTGGAATTTTCTGTGTTTTTTAGTCTAAATTCATCATATCAAAAAAGAACGAAACAAAACATAGAAATGTTCTTTTTTGTCATCATTCTGTAATTACCCTGGATGATTTAGGCCAACATATTGAATATAAGGAGAAAGACACTACTTTTGATATTCCAATAAGTCTATAGAGTGGTCAAGTGTGAAGTCTTCAAAAAACTTTTTTCAGAGTTTCCAAACTTGAAATTCATTTTCTGAAAGAGCATTAAAAAAAATGTCCATATGAAAAAAACCAATTGAATATAAGTATTGGCTGAGATATGACCATCCAAATAAATAGATTTCAATAGAAAATCACTGTTATTTTGCTCTGGTTAGTAATGTTATGAAATTGTTATTGAGAATGCAATCTCTAGATATTAACAACGTCAGTATTCAGTATATAGGTGCCAGAAGAAAAATGGGGTTTATTACATCCTGAAAGATGGCCTGTTATCTATTATATTCTGTCAAGTGCTGCAAAGTTTGTCATAAGATTTTTGATAAGAGATTGTGTCTCATATCATATATTCTCTCTGTTTTCTCAAATTGTTTAGATCAGTATGAGTGGGATGAGCCAGAACTGACTGGCTTCACTGCTCGTTATGAGCATGCATCCTTTGTTGCTCCTAGCAACCCAGACAAGGTCCTTGTCTTTGGAGGAGCACAGCAGGACAAGAACCTCAACTGTGTCCAGATCTTGGATCTAGGTAAGAAAAAAACTGTTTTGCTTGCTGTAAATACGCAGTACCTTTCTATTCTTTATAAAAAAAACAAATTGTTGTTGTTTCTGTTCTCATCTATGTGTTTGATATACGCAAGTCCCAACAAGACAGTTCTGACCTCAAGCAATGCATTTAATCAACATTCTTCTCTCAACCTAGGAGACTTTTATAGTAGACATATAGATCATAACATAAAAAACAGCACATCACTGTATATATATATATTGCACCTGGATTGAGGCCTACACACATTTTGGACATGGCACACACCACACTGCAGTGCGTAATCTTCGTTGTATGAAGTAGCATTTACCGAGGAAGAAGAAGAACAACAACTTTGTCACTTTGAGAGATTACTGTCATTAAATGGTAACTTTCGGAAATAAGAGATATACACGTATTTGTGTTAATCAATCTAGGTTTACACTTTTGAAATTGAAATTGAATTCTTCTACCCTTTCCCTCAATTTCTTAAAGCCCCACTGCACTACTTGTAGCTACTTGTGCCCTCTATACAGCAAACAATGACTAATCGTTGCCTGTTGGTCCCCCATGATTCCCTTTTTCTTATGTTAATTGAGGGCTGAATTAATGAGATAACCACCTGTCAGTGACCTTGCAGGAACCCCCTGGCCAAACTAGTGCAGACGGGCTTTAAAAGTTCTAATACTTGTTCTCTTCTTCCTTAAAGCTACCAAGTCTTGGAGCATGGTACCAACCAGCGGCACAGCGCCTTCGCCCAGGACCTGTAGAGGTAGTGCCTTTGATGGTAGCAAACTCTACATCTTTGGTGGAGGTCAGCAAGGGTCAGAACCAGTACCCGATACAAAGATGCATGTCTACGATGCAGGTATATAATATTACAGTCAAACCTGCTTTAGTGACCACCTGTCTACAACAAGCACATTGTTTGTTTCCCTTGAAAATGGTTTCTCATTGAAACATGTACTAAAGGAACCTGTCTACAAAGACCACTATATGTCTTTCCCTTGGGCAGTGCCTGTAGACAGGTTTGATTGTACTTTGCTCTTTTTTATTTTTCTTCAAATCAGATGATGAATATCTAGGAGTATATGGACTATTTGTAGCATTTTTGAATAATTTTCTTGTTACCAAGAACTCCTACTAAAATCCTGATGCTGGGTTTTAACTTTTTCTAAAGTTGGGTTTAACAAAGGAAGTTGGTCTAAGTGGTCCATTGTTTAACATAACTATATTTCATCTCTCTAATTTAGGTAAACAGAAGTCAAATTTGACTTTCCTACTCCTTTTGGGAACCTCAATATCATCCTTGATTCATCAGGATCTTTTATTCTCATGCTATAATAGAATAGGAAAATGATTAAGTAAGGCATACTGATTTTGTTGATAATAATTCTGTACTTGAATGTCGCACAAACCTGCATGAAAAAAGCACCCTATTGCCCACTGAACTATAAGTCAATATAAGCATGAACAAGTAACATTGTTACTAATTATGGCAACAAACAATTGTGATTTGTTAGAGGTGAGGATAATGGCTTCTTGAATCATGCCAGTAAGCATTTCTTCTGAGCCCCATTTCACAAAACTTGACATCAGTCACAAATGACAGTTTTTGTTATAAGCTAGTGAGATCCTTGCTTCTGATTGGTTATCAGCAGATTTGTCACTGATTTTTGTCTTTTGTCATTGAAAAAAAGGCTTTGTGAAACAGGTCCCTGGAGGGCTAATGCTGCATGAGGTTGGGATATAGATCTCACCTTTTACTATTTTACATCTTGTTCATGTTTCTCCTTTGTATATCAATTAGTGACAGGCGAGTGGACGCAGCCCCCATCAAGCGGTAGAATACCAGCTGCTAGACATGGTCATGTGATGGCAGTGTGTAACAGGAAGGTTTACCTGCATGGCGGTATGTCAGGCAGTACCCTCTTTGACGACATGTATGAGTACAGTGTAGGTGAGTGAATGAAAGTGGTGTGTGATTTGCATGGTAGTTTATAATCATGGTATCAGACTGAGGACACTAAAACCTAGCATGACTTAAGGAAAAATTAACATCTGAACTTCACAATAACACTTACAAGTTTAAAGATTATTCCATGCTTAGCTGTCTTTGTTTGTCATTCCCAAGACACAGTATTGAGCATGGTTGTTGGTTGTGATGATGATTTTAAAGCAGATTGTTGGAAGAAGAGAAATTTGTAGAGGAAGAGGAAAGAAGAAAGACTCTACAGATGATAAAAGGAAAGGAAGGAAGGAATAACAGAGAGCTCTTAACAAGCAATCACATTTGCAATAATGACAATTCTTGGCATCAATTTACTTGCAGGGTGCACTTCAAGTTGATTTCCTACCCAAAGTCAATAAAAAAATACTAGATAAAGCTTAGATGAAAAAAGAAGATAAGCATCTTTTCTGTTACAAAATGGACCCTGATTAAAGTATATTCCTCATTTTCTTTGTAGACACTGGTGTTTGGAAACTCGTTAAGACCAAAGGAGACGTCCCACCTGGTCGAGCTGCTCATGGATGCGTATCCCATGGCAACAAGATCCTCATTTTTGGTGGGATGACGCAGGAAGGCGGAGCAAGCGATGAGTCTTTTATTTTTGACACAAGTAAGTTTGATAGAAATCTCCTTTAATCTGTAATTGATTGGTTGGTTTGATAATGGGTTTTTATTGGTTATTAGTTATTCAGCAATAAGTGAGAATGGCTGGTTTCATGTACATTCTTGATTATTCATTTCCTGCTATATCTTGCATAATGCCAAATCCAGTTACAGCCTGATCAGTGCATAGCAACTAGTTACAAAGCCTCAAATAAATTAATGGAAAAAAAATACAGCCTTGGGGGAAATCGAAAGTACCATTCGTGCTATCTCAGTTTACACTAGTTTAAACAGACCAATTAATGTCACTATTTGATTAACTACCAGAGTAGTATGGTTTCAGA